GTCAAAAGTAATGCTCTTATTATCACAAACTAAACCACATTGTTGACAAATGTTATTCTAAGTATGGATACCCACCTTAGAACAAAACAAAAAGAAAAATACTTGGACAACAATCAAACAATCAGGACAAAAGTACAAGTAATGTAATTTGAATGTAAAGAATAACTCTTCTTTTCATATATCAAATCAAGAATTAAAGGAAAAAAAATATTTTCACTCTAGAACAAATTTAAGGACTCCTGAAACTTTTATAGGATTCCCCTTATAGTATTAATTTCATATAGAAACATGACAAAATTTTCCTTATAGCCGAAATGAAAACCAGTAAGGTTTCTTAAATCCTAGACACTAGAACTATAGATATGTTAAATAACACTTTGTTACCTTTTATAAAATCAAACTTGTTTTTGTGGAAATCTTTCTAATAATTTATTTATTATGTCAAAACTATTCATTCTTTCTAAAAATTTTATCATATTTAATGTTCTTTACATTCCAAAATTTACTTTTAACCTAATATTTGTCCAAATGGTGATTAGAGATTTAAATTGCAAACTATTTTTTTCTTGTGAGAATTATCATATTCAAGACAATACTACATCCAAGCTTATTGGAAAAGTTGACTTGAACAAAAGATTATACCATATTCATGAGTTTACTTTCATACTTGAGAATAATCATTAGTCGGCTAACATTATTTTGAACTGTAATAAAACTAACATAAACTTATGGTATTCTAAATTAGGAGATCCTGTTGATAAAATCATTGAACAGATGTCTACAAATTTTTCTCACATACGTCCTACTTATAAAGGAACTTGGATTGCCAAACAACATAAATTGCCTCTTTAGCTTAGTAATATTGTTTCTTTGAATATTTTTTACCTAATTAATGTTAACATATGAGGGTCTGTTTCTATTACTTTTGTTCATAGGCATAAATATTTCTTAACTATAGTTGATGATTATTTTAGACATACATGGGCTTTTTTATGGAAAATAAAGTTGAAACTAGTCCTCTTTTAGTTAATTTTGTGATATATGTTAAAATTAAATTAATTGCAACGTTAAAACTATTACGTCATATAGTGGAAGGAATTTGAGTTTTACAAATTATATGACAAATTTGACATTATTCATCATAAAAGTTGTGTTGGGACCCTAACAAAATTTCAGTGAGAGGAAACATTAACATTATTGAATATACTTGCTACCTTCTTTTTCAATTAGGGATGCCTAAAGCTTATTGATCTTATGTTGTTGCACATGTTCTTCATGTTCATCTAATACATAGACTTCCCTATGTTGTTCTTAAAGGTAAAACTCCTTATAAGTTGTTATATAAAAGACCATTTACTTATTTGATCTTAAGATTTTTGGGCATTTATGTTTTACCTCTACTCTAAAAAACAATAGAAGTAAATTTGAGCCTAGATTTAGAAAGTGTATTTTTAGTGGTTATAAATATGGAATTAAAGACTATATATTGTTCTTATGAAATGTTAAAACAAGAGAAATTTGTATAAATATAAATGTTATCTTTAATGAAAATTCTTTCTCTTATAGAAAGTCTAATAGTATTATTAAGATTAATAACAAAACAATTGAACATGATTTTAATTTTCTTCTTGAGTCTCTTGATCGCACTAAAAATAATCAAATTGAATATATCATAAATAATACCTATAAAAATGAATATTTTATCATAAATGAGACAAACAGTTGTCTAAATAGAGAAGAAGTTGATTGTAGAGAGGATTTAGAAGACATTGACAAAAGAAATAATGAAGAGCAATTTGGAAGAGATAAAAATCTTAGGCGCTCAAACAAAATTAGAAAGGTTCCAAACTTCCTAAAAGACTACCATCAAGTCAATAATTTTAATAATTCTAAATCATATAAAAGTACTTATCTTATATCTTTTGTTTTCTCCTACCATAATCTGTCTAAAAAACAATTACAATATGTTGTTATCCTTTTTTCTAATAATAAGCCTCAATTGTATTGTCAATTCTAATTGGTACTTAATTAAAGTTACCACCTAACTCAATTTTAATTGGATGCAAATAGATATATAAAATGAAACACATAACTAATGGGACAATAGAAAGATACAAGGCTCAGTTTGTGATAAAGGGATATACACAATTTGAAGGGATTGATTTTCTTGACACATTTTTTCCAGTAGCTAAATTAACCACTGTAAGGCTTCTTTTAACATTTCTTACTATCAAACAATGACATTTATAATAATTAGATATTGACAATGTCTTCTTGCATGAGAGATCTCAACGAAGAAGTTTATATGCTTCCTCCTCCTGGCCTAAACCTTAACAAACCTAATCAAGTGTGTAAGCTTATTAAATGTTTATATGGGCTAAAGTAAACTAGTAGACAATGGTTTGTTAAACTTTTATCTTCTCCCATTTATATTGGGTTTGTTCAATCTAAGTTAGATAATTTTTTATTTATAAATAAATCATCTACTACTTTCATAACTTTATTTGTGTATGTAAATGATGTCACTAGAGACTTTTTAGTTACAAATAGAAAGGATAAAACGTTTTTTAGATAAAATCTTTAAAATCAAAGACTTTGGAGAACTCAAGTATTTTCTTAGCATTGAAATGGTTCACTTAATTATGTAAGAGGAAATACACTTTGGACATTTTAAAGTAAAAAGAATGTTTGACAATAAATTGTATATCACTCCCTACTTGTATAATTATAAAAATCTTTTTGAAACCAAGGACACTCTACAAGATGTAAACTCTTGTAGTAGACTCATTGACAAGTTGCTATACTTAACCAATATCAAACTAAATATAAGTTTTATTATTCATCTTCTTAGTCAGTTTCTCCAAAATCCTATGACTCACCACCAACAGGTTACTCAACATGATCTGAGATACATAAAAGTCAATCCTTCAAAAGGATACATAAAGGTCAATCATTCAGCTAAAAGGTTTTAGCAAGTCCAACTGGACATCTTATTTTGAGACAAGATGCTCAGTCCATTGGCTATTGGGTTTTCTTAGGTTCTTCTCTCATTTTTTGGAAGTAAAAAAATAGTTAACCATCTTCCACTCCTTATCTAAAGCATTACACGTTGATTACTATTATTTCTAAATTATAATGATTTTCTTACCTTCTTTGTGATCTCCGTGTCCAACCAATCACTGTTGTCGTATAATCAATTTGTACGTCGTATAACACATAATTCCAGTTTTCACGAATGACGAAGTAGATCAATATGACCATCATGCTCTTATGAAAAACTCCAAGAAAATTTCTTCCATATTTTTTCCATACACTCCAATGAACAACTCGTAAATATTTTTACTAAAATTTTGTATAGATCATTTTTTCATACATTTTTTTTTTTCAAGATTGGGATAATAAACATCCATTACCAACTTGAAGGGAGGATATTAAGATATGTTAAGGGTTTAAACAATCAATTTTGTTTCCCAAGGTTTTACAAACCTATAAATAAGATTTCCATTGTATCAGAAATATGAAAAAAGTCTATCAATTTTCAAACCTATTTCATATTCCTTTTTTTCTTTCTCTAATTTGGTGTTTACTCTTTACCATGAGAAAATAACACACTTGTTTGACACCATGATATAAATCCTTAAATTCAATGTCTAAGATATTGAAAATCCCAAACTTCCAAAATACCTCTTATAAAAAACTACCTGAATGATCTCTAATTAATACCCCTGATTGAGCTTTACCATCAACACTTACTAGTACATTCATCTCTGCTCTGGCATTTGCCACAATATCTACCATAAAACCCACGGAGGAGCATTGCCTTCATGGTTCTCATAAACCTTAGAAATACTACACATGAAGAAAGACACGTGTGAAACCAACCAGTCCAGGGTGACATTTGCACTGTCAAAGGGTATTTTGTTGCATACCCAAATAACACAGGTATAAGAATAACATGTTGAAGTATATTGGCACATGTCCAGATGTCATCAGGAGACCTCACTTTGGTCATACAAAAAGCATGTGAAAATTGAAATGCTCGCAAACACTAAAAAACACTGTTGGGTTTAATCGCATTTGTTTTGATCTTAGTTTAGGTGCTCTGTTTACGTGTGTAAACCATTTTACGCGAAAAGTAAATGAGTAAAATCAGATAATTATTAAAAAAGTAAAGTCACTTTATAAATGCTTGCATTATTATCGATATTATTCTTTTTATTAAAAACATATCCTCACCAAATGCATTCTCAAAATAGTTAATTATTATAACAAAACTTCCCTTGACTTGAGAGAAATATCCATTTGTTGTAATTATTGAAAATGTAAATTAAATAATAATTTAATAACATGAAATATTTTACTGCATATAATTTAATTGTTAAGTTACATGTTTTTTAGAAAACAATTATTTATTTCCATATGCTTAATATAATTTATTTAAAATACATATTTTTCTTCGAAAAGTAAGTTTTCCGCATTCCGACAAATTTAGGATTGAATTTTAAACTTTCATTTTAGGCTTGTTCTAAATTCAACCTCCGCTTGCTCCATCACCAAAAAAAAGAAGTGAACTTCACCCCAACCCACCTTGGCATGCCTAAACAATACCCATTGTATGGGCCAGTTATGGCAGCGGCTCGGAACATTTCTAAAGAGCAGATCGTTTTTCTATCCTTTCTAATGAGGATGCCAAAGACCTATAATTCTTTCTGATACATACCAAGATAAACTCTACGCCTGCATCACATTTCTTCGTTTAAGCTAACACAATTTTAATACTCCTGCTATACTACTACATCCGAATCCGCACGCTGCTGACTCAGCCTCTATAGGGATAACTTTGGAGAAAATAGCCATCTCTCAATAATAATTTACTAATCATTGCATGCTTTAAAAGTAAACAAATTCTCCTGCACGGCAACCTGGACTAACTAGCAAGAACAAGATTGACTTTTGGGAGTTCATCTACAAACTAGTGATCCGTGAGTCCTGATGCTTCGCTACACGGATGACCTGATGGGGAAGTGCAAAGAAGGAATATCAGAAGTTATGCCTAACATATACAATCAACAGACCTTCATGCATAAGGGGATGCATGCATAAGGGGATGCATGCAGATAATGATGAATGATTACCTAAAGAACCAAGCAAATACGGACATTACAACTCAGTTTACCCTGGATACAGTTACAAACTAGGCTCGCTTAAACTGTCATAAAAGGATCACTAAAGAGTCCAGCACAAATAGCAGCTTATTAGTGTAATTTTGTACGGTAATTAGGGTAGTAATACAAACTGCAACTTTGTAAACCACAATTACCATTGTGAATTTACATAAAGGGTGATTTATCAGTTGAAACATGACACAAAATGAATTGACAAATTTCAACGCTGAACAGGCCCACAGAACCCACATAGTTTTCAGTTAAATATTTGAAAAAGATAAAAGGAACAACAAACTGCTAGAATAACAAGTATATTGTTTCTAAGATTATAATTGAAGTTGTACTAAAATCTTACATATAGTTTACCTGATATTCTGGTTCCTCCGTGCTTCCGCAGCTGGATGAATGCCTTCATATGTGCTGGCTTTATGAGTTTGTGCTCTCATGGCATCATGCGCCATGGTTTTAGACATTGTATACGTATGACGCCCTTTAAAATTGCATTGAATTTCTGTCAATGGATTCACAAAATACCCACTCTTACCATGCAGCAATCTATTGCTATTTGCAGTTAATATTTCTTTGCTTCCATCTTTATTGGTTGTTGCATCAATGACACCATTTGTTGATGCTATGTTCCCTAAAGAGAACTTTGATGTGCCATACCGACCTTCTGTCTTCTTCCAAAATTTAGAGCTCAAAAAGTCAGTACCAGGTAGCTTGCAACACGTGTCTTCTGTGACATCAGTATTGGAAAACCGCCCGCTTGAAACTGCCAAATCATATGAAATTTCATCCAGGGCCATCTCTAGGCCATGTACCCGTGACTCCAGAGAATTCATACCACTTTGGGAGCTTCCAATAAATCTCTATATTCAAACGAAGAAGACATGGGTCAAAAATATATATTTACTATTGACAGAAATAATGAGAGTAGAAACGTCAATCACATAAACTTTTTAAGCAAGACTATGGTATTACAGTTTACTATAATCTAAGGACAGCTTAAATACATGCGAAAAGGTAATATTATATTTAAACATGTGGTAGAAGTGCAGAGGTAGGGGATTGAAATGGTGGTAGTAGATGTCTGATAATTAAGATGAACAGTGTTAAAGACAGCAAAAGTAGGCTTTTCCGAATAAAGACTACAGAGTCATAATCTTAACTTCAAATTACAAAGCAATACCTTATCATTATACATGAGTCATAGGGGAGGATGGAGCTCAATAACAGTGAACCACAAAAAGGAAGTCAATAGGACTAAGAATTTCAACCAAAGAAAGAAAGGGATTTTAGATATTAGGATGTGGTAATCTACTTCTTGTTTTCTATAATATATGCAGGTTGCTTATATCACAAATTAACTAGTCCAAGAAAAATATTTGTCGAATCATAAAGTAAAAACATATGCAGCTTTATTAATGCCAAAAAAATAAAGAAATAGGAATATTCAATTTACCAAACATGACAGACTGTCAGAAGACTAGAGATAAGAAAAATAATTCAAAAGCTCAAAATCACAGGGTTAAATTAGACAGGTGTAGCACTGATCTAAATGAGTTAGGATTTGTAACGTAAAAGGCATATCAAGGCACAAAAGTATACCTGGAGGGTTTCTAATAGATTTGTTTGCTGGTTTTCAATTTGAATAAGTTGTTCACGAATCAGAGAAAAATCCTCAACATCTTGTGGGTTGTGACAAATATCATTTGCACTGTTCTCTACAACATCAGCGTCAAGATCATCATCATAACATGGAACAACACGAGATTTCAAACCATTGAATCTCTTCACTTTTTCATCGGACATCTTGCTAAAGAGAGCACGCTTTATCTCTGCCCTCGAATTTACCCCATTTTCATGTGGGGTTGGCTTAGAAATTTCTAAATCACACCTTTTAATACCATCTTCCCTAGACATGTTTGAGTGGGAGGACCTCGATAACGGACTTTCAAGTTTCTCAACTGAAGCCTTCTCATGAGCCTGCTGATGCAATGTTGTTCGCATCCTTGAATTCTTTTCATTACTCTTCAGAAAGTTTTCTCTTTTTATGGAGGACATGAATGAAACCGCAGACGGAGGAGACCTGCTAACAGGGACTGTTTTAGAAGACTTAGAGCCAACACTGGGTGAACTTTTAGTGACTCGCTGACCTCTACCGTCATCCGTGCCTGCAGAAAACGGCAAAAACATAAAGAATGATGACATTATTTCAGCAGCATTTATAAAATCTACATTCCTTAAAAATTGTTAAAATATAAAGAATATAGAGATGGCAACTTCGAATTCGGAAATGGAACAATTTCTGGTCAATTTGGTGTCTTAAAACGACGTAAAGAGGGGGGGGGGGGTGCGCAAGTTTTATTCACAAAATCTATCCTCAAATATTTCAGCACTAACTTGGCAAACCAAACTGATTCACAACTACGATAATTCTAAATCATTCACACTCTTAAAAATCAATTCAGTCAAACTGAATACGTGTCAGATGAAATGCTACTACGGATAGCTTGTTCATGGAAATACAGTCATACGTGCGTTTCAAAAGCTACCCCAAACACGCTGTCAAACTGAAGGAAACCCAGCAAAAAGATTCTTATCACTGTTTGAAAGTTACTTCACTTACTAAAACTTGACATAATGCAAAAAATAAGCCTTACCAACAGAATCACATTCAGACTTAACCGAAGCGGGAGCATCCTCGGTTACCTCCCTCCACGTCTCCAAAGCACGATTCATAGTCTCTCGAACTACTTTGATCTGTAACAAACAACAATAACACTCACTCCAATCATATCAACATGCAACATCAAACCAACACTATTATTATTATTTCCATTTTAAATTGTTTCAATTTCACCACCATCACAAGGGTATATCATAATTACAATTATAACCTAAGAAAGTTTAAATTGGTAATTTACCTTATCAAACCTCCGATTCTGCAAAGAATCCAAACATAGAACCTTGTGCTGCGACGCCAAGTCTCCCTCCACCGAAGCCGCCTTCGTCAGCGCCTCCGCCGCGGCTTTCCTCACCGTCCAGTCCTCACTGCCGAGAAACTCGACGAGGCACGGCACGAGCCAGTTCATTGCAGTACGGCTCGACGCGCCGCCGACGGCGGCTACGCTTCCGATCAGCACCAGCAGCGCCGCCCGCGCCCGACACACGTCGCTCTTCACAAGCTTCCCGAGCCGCGGTAGCGCGCTCCGCCGGAGCGCCTCCGCGTCGGGGTCCGGCGCCGCCTCGACAGCCGCCGCGAGGCACAGCGCGGCGCCGATCTGCGCGTTGGTGTCCTGCTCCTGCGCCAGAGCGTCCATGAGCGGCCGCAGGAACGCGGCGGCGAACGGCGGCCGTGTGATCCGCGACGACATCACCGCGACGGCGTCCACGCACGCGGATCGCACGGCAGAGTCAGTGTCACGGAGGCGACGGAGCACGGTGGCTAGCATCTTCGGAAGAAACGAGGAGAGAGCGTCGCCGTGGCAGCGCGAGAGAATTTTTAAGAGATGAACGCATTGTTTGCGAACCGGAGATTTGGAAGACGAGTCCGTGTTGTGAATGCAGGATAGGAAAGAGGAGAATGAGTCGTGGCTTAGGGTTCGGGCGATGGACTCGAGTTCCGCGGAAGCGCCGGCGAACGTGTCGCGGTCGGAGAGTTTGTTGAGGCACGTGATGACTCGCTGTCGGAGGTTCTGAGCCGACTCAGTGCCGGTGAGTGGCGGCGGGCCGCTGAGCGAGTGGCGCCTAGAAGACATTGTGGCTTTCTTATTTTTGCTATGCAACGGCGGCGATTCAGTGACTCGTATTCGAGAACCGGAAGAGACGGCGGAGGAAGAAATGGAAGAACGAATAACCGCTAAAACGGTGTGTGAAGGGGATTTTGGCGGCAGAGTTTGGAAGAATTGAGTTGAGAATGCTTAAAGCATTTTTCGTTATCGTTGGGATTTTATATGAACGAAGTTCAAGCTGTGCGGTGTGCAGGGATGTATCAAAATTAATACAGAAGAAAGTAAAATATAAGCTACAAGTAATATATTATCTGTATAAAACATATAATTATTTTGATTGAAATGTTTTTTTTATCATCTTCACTATATTAATTGATATTTTTCATTTACAATATTAAATTATAATTAATAATAAAGACTAAAATGACTATCAGAATGTAACCAAATGTTTAATAGTAAAAATGTATTATCATTTATAAGCCATTATAAAAATTCTACTGGCTTTAGATTGAAAAAGATTAAAGTCATTTTATAAAAGCATATTGAAAAATAATAATTTTTTAAAATTAAAATAAAAAATTAAGAAAGATTAAACGTATATAAGTCTAATTTTGTGTCATAAAAAACTTTTAAACAAAACTAAAAAATAGGTATATGATTACCGAAAAAAATCTAACAAATAGTTACATTATGTATAGAAATGCATAAATTATGTTATTGTAAAAAGTTTCATAGTATCTAAACAAAATTCTGTCTTTTAAAGTATTGATTCAAGATGTAAATATTTTTAATCATTAAAATTCACATTAAACATTTTCTTTAATTGTAATTATTGAAACTTTTTTGTTATCACTTTCTTATTTCTTATTTATTATGAAGGCATTCGTTAACATTATAAATATTGATTATATGTAATATGTTGAATTGAGGAGAAGATTTTGCAGATATTAATGCTCACTGGTGTTTGCAAATATTCATTAATATGAAATATAAATGCAAGGTATTTTCTACTGTGTTTCTATTTTACATAAGTAGTTACTTTTTTCTTAATGTAGTAAATCAAAGTTCCTATTTTCATTTACAAAAAGTGTTCATACGAAATATTTAAATACATTTAAATAGAGTTACCCAGAACAAAGATAATCGAGTAAAAAAAATGTTCGAGGTTTAAGATAATTGTACGTACCACTTTACAAAAATATAATTGCAATAAATACATGTCATTTATTAATAATAGTAAATGCTAAATATTAAGCTTGTTTTAGTTAATATATCTTTATTTAATAAAAATTAATATCAATATAAATATCTCTAAAATTATGTTATACTAGCGTGGCATTGAATTTAGTTGTCTTTGGTGTAAAACTTTATTTTATGATAATTTAATAATATTTATTCCAAAATTAATAGATTTGTCATACATAATTTTGTATGATTGCTGAAGATTATAAAAAAAATACACTATTAATTTGTTTATTTTATATCTTCTAACTTCTAGGTATCTATTTTATTTATAATAAAGAAATGGAAGTGAATGAATGGTTGTTTGCGAATTAACTATAAAAAAAAAAATCATTATAAAATAAACTCAATTGCTACCTGATAAAAAAATTTAGTATAGAATTATTATGAAATAAAAGCAAGATTGAAAATAATTACTGCATATATATAAAAAATTGTTCCCTAAATTTTCCTATGTTAAAAACATAACATATATAATCATTTTTTTCTTTTATAAACTAATTTCTTTATGAAAAATGATTATGTGTTTAAAGCACCAACTTCTTAATCTCAATGAGACTCATTTTCTTTATGCAAAACCTACGGCTCTTATTCAATCTCTGTTTCATATTCACATGCATCAAACAAACGACACGAAGCAGTAGCAGCAATAAAATAAAAACAGAATGATTAATTAGCGTGTTTAATCTTAACTTTGATAGCTAATTCCCCAACATTAAGGTGAGTTGATAATGTATTCATTTTTATAATGAAACATTAGCATTGGTCAGCATGTATTAGAGAATAGGAGCACATGATGAAAGCACATGTAGCACAACAACATGTGAAAGTTGAATTAATTCACAGATAAACAAAAAGATTAGAAAAAAAAATTTATCTTTTAATAATAATTATTATTATGAGAAAAGTATCTTACAAATATAATTTAAGAGGATTAAATGTGGAGCATGTGAATGAGGTATGGACGAAACACACATATTTTGTTATTTATCTCACAGTATATATTGAACTTGTTCCCGTGTCACGTGACTCTTGAATATGATATCCATCCACTGAATAGTGACCATTTATTTATATGTTTTTCTTGTAAAAAGCAAAGCATTTGGATTGGTTATGGAGGGGGAATGTACCTTTCTTTCCAATTAATTGTACGTGAATTTGTTTCTGCTCCACAATTAGGGATAAATCTTTTTGTTTTCTTTCTAATAGTAATTATCTTTACAAAAAGCAAGCAAAGAATTGTGATTCTTCTGGTGAGAAAAGGTTAAAAAGTGTTATGATTGTAACTACCATCCTAGCTACTTGGTGTGGAAAAGACTAAAGAGATTTATCTATCTGCATCTCCGTGATTCAAGTTAAGAGAGGAAACAATGATTTAAAGCATGAAGAGTGTCTCATTATTATACATAGAGAAGAGGATGTATGATATACCCTATAATTCATGGAATAAGAAAGAGACAAGGAATAAGTTGATGAATGCATGTGACCATTTTCGTGACAAAGACTTGGCAGTTCTTGGTCTTGTGCTGTAGTTATCACCTTGCGACCACCCCCTTTCGACAATTTAAACAATCATGTATACAAGAATCTGACATCTCCATAGTTCTTTATTATCATCAATGCTAGTGTGTTTAATTTCTCCTTGTACTACTCTGGTAAAAATTTGGAAGATCTCTATCAACCCAAAACGGCAAAATATTAAGGTATTTTTATTATAGATTTTTTTATATTTATAAGTTTTTCAACGTGTTCCGACTCTTCCATTCGAGTGGATTACATTGAAAAAGTGTGGTAGATTTATAATGGACTGAGAAATTGAAAGTTGCAAGTTGAGAATGAACTCTAAGTTTTCAAGTTTTAAGTATTAAGCTTCAAACAATGTTAATATACCAGGTAACCAGTAATATTATTTGATGATTAGATAGTATTAATATGAAAAATATACTAAAATAAAAAATATAAATATATAAAAATAAATCACAATATGAATATGATACGTTTTGTATAGATTTTTTTATCACAATATTTTTTATTTTATTTTATTTTATTGAGATATGTATGTATTCATATACAAATGTGGTAAATATATAGTATGATAAAAAAATATCATCAATTAAATTTTCTAAAGAAAAGCATGCTATTTATCTTTAAAGTAGGATTATAATTAATTTGGTTATGCACCAACTTGATATAAACTTTAGCATTTTTGACAAAGTTGTATGAAATATTGCAGAAGTTTTTTGCTTTTTCAAATTGAAATTACAGTTATATGCAAATTTTTAACCTTTTTTTCAAATAAATATTGTTTGCTTTAACCAAATTTTTTTTATCTAGGCATGTTTTACAAATGATTATATTAAACGGTCCTATCTCAAATACTTTAAAATTTCTAATTTGATTGCGTAGAAAGAAGTTAAATTAAAAACTGACTTTTGCATAGAGATTCAAAAGGGGGCAAAATAATGAAAGTTTTGAAGAACAAAATCTAACAAATGTGCCCCGCCACAAGTTTAAACAAAAGTACAGGAATTGTTGTACTGGGTCAAGAATTCTCTTTGCACAGACACTTGGAACAACTTTAAGAATAACAAGTTTAATTATTTAATTAAAGCTATTCCTTTCAAGATACTCTCACTTAATTTTAATTATGGTGTCCATTCCTCTTTATTTTTTTCCTGTGAGCACAGAACATCAATTGAGAAATTATCATAAACACTTACATTGTAAAGTATGGTACTAACAATAGTATATGCCTTCGTTTTCCACTCCACCAACGGTAAAAGCCCGTAAATTAAGCTATTGGGAAAAACTTAACCAAAAAGTCTCAATCAATCACTTTTAACAAATGAGAAAGTAACAGGAACACATAATAATAGTAACCAGAGATTCCATCAATTTTTGTGAGATATTGAAAGACATTTTAAAAGGAAGAGTTGGTATATTATCCTCTTTAAAAAGAAAAATCTTATTTCTCTTAGTTTTTTACCTATTATTATTTTCTTATAAACTCAATTTAAGTTACCAAGAGAAAAGAAAATATTTTTCACTTTTGGCATAATCGGCTTTTTCCTCCTTTATTTTTGTTTTTAGACATAACTTTTATATCTTTACATCCAATTTGAAATTTACTGGGAAACGGGTAGATTTTGGTTTCCCATTCATCCACCCATAGCAATGATAGTTAGGAAGAGAAGAAGATGAGAGTGTGAATTTAAAGAGATGATAAAGATGTGGGCAACAACAGAAGGTGGAAGAACAGTAACTATGATGTAAAATGTAGGGTTTTGATGAGTGTGTCTGTGAGGAACATTGTATTGGGCAAGGTCAATGTTGTCTGACTGAGAGGCAGGACCCCATGTATTGAACTTGTCTTAGATTTAGAAGGCCCTCGAAGATTTCACATGGGGAAGGCCGAAAAAGTAGACCAAAACCATCAAACACTTTGCATGCATTTCACTGCGCTACCTTCACCAACCATGTGTGTTGTGTTTTCTTTCTCAAGCGGCATCCCCACATGCGTCCTCTCTGCTTGGGGAAGAAGAAAATTTAACACCGCAATGTACATTATTTATTGGGGAGAAAAGTTTGGTGCAGAGAGAGGGAGCATCTCCCTGGAAACATTCCCTTCATTCTTCAATGCCCTTGCGCCACCTGACACTTGGCATGTGTCCAATAAATTTGGACAATGTGTCCTTTTTCAATCCAAGTTAAATAAATTGTATTATTAAAAAAGCTAGTGAAATTGCTATGGACTATGAGATTAGATTCAGTTTTTTCTGATTTATCACACTTCTGTTTACTGTTTCAGTTAAGAGTATGAAAAAATGGGGCTTTAATAATTGTGTGATGAGAACTTATTTGAAAAATGATCTTCCGTTTCGCCTCGGTTATTTGTGGTGTTTGTTTCTTTTCTTATTCATGATAAGAACATGGGAGGAAATATACAAAATATTAAGAGGTGGGGTTCATTCGATGCTTCACTAGTCATGCAAGGTAGAGGCTACTACTATGTTTTCGATAAGAAAATGAGACTTTTGAGTGGTTTTTGATAAATTGAACAAAATGTGATGAAAGGTGGTCCAATTAAAATCCTCACCAACAATCAATTACCAATTGGGATTGTCCTTTATTTGTTTTTACCTATGATTCTGTATGTTCAAATATTTTAAATTGTTTAGGAGTGAAGATTATATATAGTTTGTATTCATATTCAACTTTAAAATTAACATTAACTTAAACATAACTATTGAGTTAACTACCTGTCTCATCGTATTTAATACTTAAGAAAAGTTTGTAATTCAAAACAACTATCATAAATCACGTGAATTAAGTAATATAAATTATTCTAATTGTTTTATGCCGCAATTAAAAGTTACCCTAACTATGAGAATTGGTTAAAGTAAAAATATTTTAAAGCAACAGAATCCCGCAAAAGAGGGTTGAGCAGAAAATGTTGAGAGATATATAAGCATATATTCTTATGAATATTAGAATAAAAAGTTTGAAAGTCCCATGATGTAATATGGAAATGTCACATAAAAATGCTATATGCTCATATACTAAACAAAATTAGAAGTAATTATATATCTATTAAGAGTTGGTTGAAAATGTGAGAAAAAAAAAGAATTAAATAGAATGAGAAGAGTATATTTACTCATTTGATAGTAAAATGACATAGAAAACAAAAAAAAGTTTTTATTTTAAAAAAATAAGTTAAGAAAAACACAAAAAATTGTGTTAGAGTTGCATGCTGTGGACCTGAGTGGTGATGGTTTTTGGTCTGTGATACTTAGGTGTTAGTTTTGTCCTTATTCTGTCAAGAAACATGGTACTGAATGATTAATTAGCATTAAATTTATATATTACGTTACGTTATATATCAGCTATCCTTCATAATTTCACATGCAACCTGTACAACAAATCCTAGGCTGGTTTTTTGTCTTCGTGTAAAACCTGCACAACTTTTTTTTAATTTCAATCTCAAAATGAAAACGCTGTATCTGAGAGGAAGATGATCTAAAAATCATTGGCTATGAGTCAACAACAAATACTTTATTATTGCTTTAATCATTAATATAATATATATAATCATAATTGATCCAGATAAGAGATAATGTATTTTTTTATGACAGGATAAGATGCTCTATGAGTATTTTATTATGTCGTTTATATATGTAGCCTGATTTTTTTATTCTTTTACATGCTCGTTCAAATAAAATTATCACATTATTAAAATTTAATGATTTTTATAATTATTGTTTTAAAAGTGTTTAGAATGACATGTAAAAACTTGTTCTAACGCTGTATCAAAATTAACTTTTAAAAACACTTGTTAAAATATGTTTAATAAATTTTATACTTAGAATAAATCATGTAACGTTGTTTATATAAGTAACATTGTTTGTTTTTTTTAGTTAAATAAATTAATGAAAGTACATAAATAGTAGTATGTTTATAAAACTCAAAAGAAACAAATTAAGGTAAATTTTCACTTAATAATTTGAACATTGGAGTGGAATTCTTCTTAATGTACTACATTCAAATAACATTTTAATGACACAGAATTAAGATCAGTAATCAATATATTATGGATGTTCTTAACAAATTGAAAATACACGTGGTCATGCTTTTGGGTCCACTTTTTAAATACTTATAGAAAATTAATAAAATAATTTTGTTTTCATGAAAAAAAAATTACACACTTTAACTTAAAAGAAATTAAATAATAGAATTGAATGTATAAATTATTTTTTATTTATGAGATAAGTCTAATTAACTTTAATTTTTCCTATATGTTTTTTTATTAGTTTATCTTAACACAGCAGAAAATATACATGTGCTATTGGATGTCTTGTTTTGGTACATCAACACCTTTGTCCTCTTTTTAAAAAAAACTGTGAACGGACCACCCACAAAGGCCCATCAAATTTTGGAATTACTATTTCAATCCCTTTTTCTTTAAGTGTTCTATTTTCATAAAATTAGAGAATCAATCTTTTTTTCAAATCGGACCAATCACTAAATGGTAAAGAGATAAATTCAGATTTAAATATTTAATCGGTTGATAAAATAATATTTTTATAATCTGTCAAATATAAATAAGTTAATTAATAAGAATATTTTTTATATAAAAAAATAATAAAAATTATTATCATAATCATCATAAATAAAAATAACAAAACAGGTTAATTTCAGTTAGACAATCCACTTAAAAATAAAGGATGGGTTAGTGATTTTAATCTGTCTCACCTAGTCTGTCATGTTACTTTTTAATAGTGATCAAATTATTTTTTATACAAACTTCTACAACAATTAATTCAATTACTATTAAAAACGTCAATTTACTTGACAATTAATTTCATTGTTAAATGGTAATATTTTTCTAGAGATGAAGGAAGTAATTTGGGGGTACAGGAAGCAAAGAACCAATTACCGTTGCTACATGAATTGGGCTTCGGCTCTGCGAATTAATTGGATCCCATATAAAAGAGCTATTCATATATAGGATAGGAATCACTTAATATAAATTAATATTATTTTATATTTCCCCTTTACAATCAAAGTTCAAGGGTATTTATGAGAGTTGAATTTTAGAAAGAAAATGAGGAGAACAAAAACTAATTTATTTTAAACTTAAGTCTTAAGATTACTTGGACAACCCGTGAAGTTAACAATACTTTGTCATAATTAAATTCATTTTTTTATAAATGATTCAAGTTTTTTAATTACTAATGTAGGAGTGGATCTCTATCAAAAATGGATTTAAATTTAATGTATTATTTAAACTATAAATTTCCCTTATTAATATACTTAATATACCATGTCCATTGAAATAACTCATTGAACATTATTAGGTAGGGACTAGGAATAATCATATATCTAAAAAATGGGAAGTATTAATTAAGATGATAATAATAATATTAAATAAAAAGTCAAGATAATTAGACTATTTTTTAAGTTACGAAATTCAATTAAGCGATGTTTAACAATTACGGTTATTACATAAACTCTTTTTGCTTTTTCATTTAATAGTTTATTTAAAATATTGTATTTTTATTAAAATTAGTTATAATTTTATTTTTTTTCCTATATATTAATTTTTAATATTATATTTTTGAGTAATCATAATACACTCTATTTTTTTATATGTCATAAACAATAACTTATTTTAAAAGACAATACTGTTCTATTTAAAAAAATAAATGTAATATTAAAGTATTTATTACTCGTATCTTTTTTTTATATCTTTATCCAATTCCAAACTATTATAAAATATTTTTTGTCATATATTATTTTTAACAATCATTATATATACATATAAAATGATAACTATATATATAATTATAAAATAAAAATAATTGTAATTACTCTCTTTAATAATATTTAATTACACAAATAATATAAAAGTTGCTGTTCATAACATATTAAAACTATATTACATGTAACTATTTTATTTATTAAAAAAATAATAAATACATTAGCTAGTTTAATTAAGCACTTAAAATAATATAATTATCTTAATCTGAAAAAATATTGTGTTTACTTATCTTAATTAATATTTTCATTTTAAAATCTAAATTAAATATAATTAACAATTAATGACTAACATATAGAACCTAAAAAGTGTGAGGGATTAAAAATAACAAATATAGGACATAAAACATAACCAAACAATATTTAGAAGAACTTAAGCATATATTAAATTTAGTGCAAATATAAAAGCTAAAACATGATTAATTTGAAAAAAAGTTAAATAATATAATATACACTTAACTTTATATATATATATATATATATATATATATATATATATATTAAGTAGTTAAGCATTTATATTTTTTTAATTATGTGTATATATTTTCAACATTTTATTTCTCGAGATTTTTTTTTACTTATAATACAAAAATATTGACAATGTTTTAAGGTTTAAATCAAATATTTAGTATATAGGTACCCATTTATTGTTGAATTGTCTTAGCTTAATTAACACATTTTGTTGGACTAAAAAAACACAAATTATCCAAAATAATATGCTATTTTCGGTAAAGCAATTATGATATATAGATATATTTTGACCAATTTAATTTCAAGATATGCGTTTGTCAGAGGAGAATTTTGTAGTTTTTTCATAAATTAAATATCATGTTGTTCATATTTGGTTTATTTTTAAAGGATATCATTGCTAATATTTTCCATAAATAAATTTTTATTGGATTTTTCACACAAACAATATATATAAAAGAATATGTGAATTTAACTTTGCTTGGTTAAAATAAAAATTTCACAAAAAATTATCCTTATTAGTTGATCTACTGTAATAATAAACTAAAAATCAAAACAATTTATTTAGAAAAATTATATAAATATCTTTAGTATAATATCTTTTACTAACATGTGGCTCCTAGTCCCGTAGAACATGATTTCTATGGAAGCAATTTTTCTTCCCCCAAATACCCTCTAATATGTATGATGTTTTATAAGAACTTTAAATTCCAGTAAAAAACATTAATATATACATTAATTTAATTGAAATACATTTATAGTCTCTGTACTTTTTCTTTTATTAAAATATTATAGAACATCTTACCTACTTTGATTTAAAAAGTATAAAAATTTATTTTACAAATTAGGTTCAAGAGTTTGTTTTCTTGGTGTACTAGCCAAACAATACTTATGAATTCAAATCTTAGGTCACTTTTCCATGTTTCAAATCATGTCTCCTGAATAGTTATAATTGAACTATACACATATTCATGCCTCTCTCTTTTATTTTGCACTAAAACTTAAACAATTTTGTGATTAAGTGAATTATAAACACTATCAGCCACGTGAACCTGCTCTTGATGATATTATAATCTGCAAAACATTTAACTGTATTGTTTTCTTTCTTTTTTTCGTTTTGCTATTTTTTAAATTAGTTAATCATGTATAGTTTTATTTATAAACAGAAACATAAAAGGATGAAAAAAAGTATTATGTTGTGTTTCACTACAAAGATAAAGATTCTTTAGAATATGACCAGAAATAAGAATTTTAAGTGCCCGCTAAATCATACTCCATTATAAAAAAATTATTATTTATAATACTTATTTGTGAACCAAAATAATATCTCAAAAAAAAAAAAAAAAAATATATATATATATATATATATATATATATATATATATATCATCAGTGGTTTAAAATAAAATAAAATAATTTAATAAAAATATTTCAAAACGGAGTTATTTATCATATTTGCTCAATAATATTTAAAAGAAGTTTTGTTATTATAATTTTGTAATAAGAAAAAATTATTTTTATGTGTATCTTATGTATAGATTTATTTTAGATTACAAAAAATTTATATAAAATAATTTGATTCAATTTAAAGTAATGTAATACATTAAATAATATTATTATTCATAAACTACTTTTAAGTCATTATTTAAAAAATTATTTTTATCAAAAATTTATTATTTTATTATGAATCTCAATAAATTATTTAATAGTTTTTATTAATTTAAAATAACTCATTCGTGTGAAATCCACTTAAAAAAATCATTTTCATAAATATTTTTTTTAATATTCTTTCAAGATATTTTTTAAAGATATTATAAAAATAATCATTTTTAAAAATATAATTTCAATAAAAAATGTTCAAAATTTAAATTATAAATTTAATTGTATCATATCATAGTTAGACAACTACACTTAAAAAAAAACTTATTATCTTAATTTTATTGATTTATTTATATAAGTCTTTTAGTGAAATGATTTATATTTTGTAAACAATTTATTATTTTATTTGTGAAACTAATATTAAAATAATATTTTAAACAATGTTGTATATAAGATTTACATTAAGATAGTATTTTTATTCTTAAACAAGTGATGGAAATTATCATTTTCATAAAATAATACATATTTAAATATAAATAATAGAGATCTTTAAAATATATCTTTTTTCAATTTAAGTAAATCATTCATACATATATATATATATATATATATATATTAAAATATATTTGTAAAATTTAATTAGTTTTTATAAGATTTTCCTTTAGAAATATTATTTTTGAATTTGTTATTGTCATCAAGAAGAGATAAAAAAGGAATAGAGTTAATGTAACTGTGACCTAATCTGAGTAGTAATGAATGTATATATATTAAATCATTATTACTTATTAATAGTTGTATTAATTATTGGTCATTAAAATTATTAATAAATGATGCATGTTTAGTGCCGTTGCTTCAATAACATTAATAAAACAAGCATAAATGAGCGTTGTTCCTTGATATACCTTGTCCCTTGAAACAAAGCCACCTCTTGCCTTCTTTAACAAGTGCTACACTACAACCCCAAGATCTGTTCAGTTCAAGCAAATCATGATAACATTTGAGTGAACTATTTAACAACATAAACTCATAACTAGATGGGCCTTGACATTGTGGTTGAATTGGGTTTTGTTTGATACCCATTTTCAATATTGAAAAATATCAACTAATGCAATAGCCCAATAAGCAAAATAGCAACTAATGCAATATAACTTATACCTGGAGGCCATATTTTCTACGAGCCACTCCAACTCATTCAGAAACCAAAAATAATTTAGAACCAAGATTTCACCTCATTATTAGTAAATCAAAATATCCAAGCCACACAAAAATAATGTAATTTATTACCATAAGGATAAGGGCAATTACGAAGTCTTGTTTATAACAAGCGGAAAAACACCACTATTGAGAGTTTTACCCATTCTCTCACTATCTGTTAGACCTAATTTCATCATCATCCATTACTTAGAATGAGTCTTGTAATACATTCTATTCACCAACAACTACTACTCACAAACTCATACCAAACTAAAAAGGAGATATTTATTTAGTTATTTAAAAAACAAAAATAAAACCCTATCAGGATTATTACCAAAAATTATGAAAGGACATTGAATGATTTTCATTTTTTCCATTTAAATAGTTTCACGCTAACACAATCTAGCTATAGAATATCGATTTGCGCTAATTTAATTTCAGAAAACATGTTTAGGGAAAAGGATTAACCGCTTATAAGCGGTATGGACTGGGGTGACCGGGAAATGAAGGTAAAATTTTACTACCGCCACGCCACCCTTATTTTCTATTGTTCTTATATCACATCGTTAACTCTCTCTCGTTCTCTCTTTTATTTCTCGTTGTCTCTTCTTTCTCTCGCTCTGTTTGCCCAGAAAATCAGAGAGAAAAAAATAATCCTCTTTGAAATTCAAACTGAGAGAGAAAAAGGGAGAAACTTCTCCGTAAAAAACCTTGGTGTTCTCTTCAGCACTTCAACGTTGACACTTTCTGAAGAATCACAAAGGCTCGAGGAAAAAGCTTTGTTACACAAAGCATTTTCGCTATTTATCCTTTTTTTTTTTTTTTTCTCTTTCGGATTTCTATCTTTTTTCTCGGAACTTCGCAGTTCGGAGACTTGGCGATCACTCTGTAAATTTCGGCTTCCTTCGCTCTAATTCATCCTCACGTTGCTTTACATTGAAGTAATGCGAATTTTGCTTGCGATTCTCTTTTTGTTTCAGGATTTGGCTCCTCGGAGGTGATCTCTTCTCGGAGGTAGGGGTTAGGATTCTAGCTTTGCGTTGATTCCTCACGGTTAGATCTGAAGTGTACTAATTACTCTTGTTTGAATGACAAGCCCGAGGTTTTAGAATTTTGAATTCTTTCGGAGTTTGGAAATATGATTTGAAGTTGAAGAGGGAGAGTGTGTTGTTTCTACGCTTTGTTTTTGAAGATGAAGAGGTCTAGAGATGAAGTTTTCACGAGTTGTTCTCAACTCAAACGGCCTGTGGTGTCTGCCCGAGGGGAAGCGTAAGTTTTTTTTTTTTTTTGTTATCTTCAAATTTGCTAGACTGTGCTTGCCTTTTGATTTTGTTATTTTTCGTGCTTGATCAAGCGTTTGCATCTTCAATCAAGTCGTGAGGCCTTTAATTTTTCGGTGCGGTGAAATTTGTGTTTTCATGTTCTTATGTGAAATCGAAGGAGTTTCAATAGTTGTTTTTGTTTTGTAAATTCTTTTTGTAGGTTTAGGCTTTAGTGAAGCTTGTAGTTTTGTTTTGTCGGATTGTTTGACGGGGTGAAATGAGATCGGATATTTCTTGTCTGCGATAATGTTCGAATCGTCCTCATCATTAGTTGGTTTTTAGGTTTTATTTGTTGATTGAGTTGCTATCCTAAAAATTTTATGATTTTTTTTTTAATGAAGGTCTGGGCAACCGCAGATGACAAATGGAGGTGCTCAGAAACTGACAACTAATGATGCCCTAGCATATCTTAAAGCTGTGAAGGATATATTTCAAGATAAGAGGGACAAGTATGATGACTTTTTGGAGGTTATGAAAGATTTCAAGGCTCAAAGGTTTGATCATGTCGTACCATATTTTTTGTTCATTATTTTTGTATTATATTGGGAAAGAGGATCTTGGTTTTGTTAGTGAAAATTGAGTTGTGTTTCCTTTGGGTGCATTGTAGAATTGATACTGCGGGTGTCATTGCAAGAGTGAAGGATTTGTTTAAAGGCCATAGAGATCTTATATTGGGATTTAACACCTTCTTGCCTAAGGGCTATGAAATCACACTTGCATCGGAGGATGAACAACCTGCTCCAAAGAAACCTGTTGAATTTGAAGAAGCTATAAATTTTGTGAACAAGATAAAGGTAAGTGCATTGTTGAGACTGATGAGTCTTTCCTTTTTAGATTTGTTTTCGACCAATGGATTGTTTTGCTTTTAAGTCTGATGGATTCTTTTCATGCAGACTCGTTTTCAAGGTGATGATCATGTGTACAAATCATTTCTTGACATATTGAATATGTACAGAAAGGAAAACAAGTCTATTACTGAGGTCTACCAGGAGGTATGCGTGTCTGCCTATGTTATGTGTTGTCATGCTATCGTCTTGCAGATATGTTATGTTATCCTTTTTATTTTCTTTATTTCCTCTGGTAGTGTTAATATTTCTTTTGATGCTCATTTTAATCATGTATTCGATTTCTTCAGGTTGCTGCTATATTCCAGGATCACCCAGATCTTCTTGATGAGTTTACTCATTTTCTTCCAGACGCATCTGCAGCTGCCTCTACTCACTATGCTTCTGCTCGAAATTCTATGCATCGTGATAGGAGCTCAATTCCAACAATACGGCCAATGCATGTTGAAAAGGTTTGTCTCCATATCTTATGTTCCTCTTTACTGTTGAAGGAATGCCCAAGGACCTAAGGTGAGGTGCCAGAGGGGGTCAGCACCTCTTGCACATTGATGTGCTGCCCCTTTAGTGAGGTGCTTGTCTCTAATGCATTTATGGTTCCTGTGAGCCACACTTTTAACATATTACTGATAACTTAAAATAAACCTACAATGCCAGCCATCTATTTTAGGATGTTAAATTGGGTAAGAGTTATGCTGAAGAAATATTAACACTTGTTGATGTTTTGGGACTCCTGTCAGCTGACTAGGGCTCGTAAATTGAATGTCTAAATCATTTGTTTTTTTACTAAAAATGTTATGTCGAGATGTCAGTCTTTGATTATTTTTGAGAGCCCACCATTAATCTTTAATGACCTCTGTGGCTTTGTCCCTATGAGTTTTATAGTGGGTCATCAAAATGACATTTCATCTACATGCCAGCGTGAAAAGACAATGGTTTCACATGGTGATCGAGACCCCAGTGTTGATCGTCCTGACCCAGATCATGACAGAGGTTTGTTAAGGATAGAAAAGGAAAGGAGACGTGTAGAGAAGGAAAAGGAACGTAGAGAAGATAGAGACAAGAGAGAACGTGAAAGGGATGACAGAGATTTTGAGCATGACAGGGAGCGATTTCCTCACAAACGGAATCGTAAAGCTGAGGACTCTGGAGCTGAACCATTGCTTGATGCAGATGAAAATTTTGGTACGCGTCCTATGTCATCCACTTGTGATGATAAAAATTCTCTGAAAAGTGAGTATGTCATCATTACTGTTGATCTTGAATCCACAAACTTATTTTTGTATGTTTTTACCTTTCCTAACTAATTTATGATGTACAATCACTAATTATGGTACAGAATTTGATGTTTAATCGGGAAAGAAATAAATAAACAAAAAATATCCAAAAAACATGTGAACTTTAAAAGTTAATTAGTGAATGCTAAAAATTCTCATCACTTTTGTGCCTCATACAATGCTAAAATATTAAAATGAAAAAAAAAAAGAGATTTCTTTTAGTGATATAATTATCCATAATCAAAAAGTGCTTTGAATTTTATATTTATTATTTAGGGTTATGTGAGCATTTTCCCTTGTTTTGTGCACAAGGAGAAACCTAGTTTATTCCAAAATTGTCTTTGTACTTTAAACTCCTCCTTTCCTTTTGTGGTTTGTTATGTATCTTAAATTTTGTCATTTCAGGTATGTACAGTCAAGAATTCGCTTTTTGCGAAAAAGTCAAAGAAAAATTACGAAATCCTGATGACTACCAGGAATTTTTGAAGTGCTTACATATTTACAGTAGGGAAATAATTACCCGACAAGAGCTGCAGTCATTGGTATGGTTTGCATATTAATTTTTATTAGATACTTCACTGATTTTAATGTTAGATTCTGTCATGATGGGTGACTTTAATTTGTCAATCTATGTTGGTTTGGCTGGCAATGAACATTGATTGACCTTAATTCCTTAAAAAATGTGGTGTATTGTAAACTATCTATTGGATTCTATTATTCTTACATAAACTTAGGAATTTATTTGCATGAAAGGAGTGTATTGTGAACTATCAATTTGGAGAAATAAGTTGGGCCAGCCAAAGTTTGGTTTGGGCAACAATGCATGGTCCTACGCTGGGCGAGTGTGCTAGTAGACAAATTTCTAGGGATAATTAAGTCCCCTGGTGAGAATAGACAATCAATAAATTGAAAGAATAATCGATTTTCATGCAATAAATGTAAATACTATACTATTAAGGCAGTATATCGAGGGAAGCCCATTTTGAGCAGAATGGTTTTGAAGAAATTTACAATGGCAATGAAAATTTTAGAATGTTTTTTCAAACTAGTATGCAGCTCAACAGCCATGCTCATTACAATGCACCACTCATTTTTTTGGTGTATAAAGGTTGTATTGAAGTTAGAATCTATGAACCATGCTACCCCTTGACTGACCCAACTGGGTTTCATATGTACCATTCATATGGATATGAAATCAGAAACAAGAGTTTATCCTCTTTTAATTGCACCAAGTCAGTATCCTTCCAATCATCCCCATAAAAGATGTTGTCTTTCCAAATGTCATCAGAATCAAAAAAGGAAGCTCAAAAACTTCAATCAACCAGATGAGGACTGAATCTTGATATGCTTCTGCCCAAATCACCTTGTGCACTATACAGGGGACACATTAACGGCTAAGAGTGATGTAGATCGCACATTAACCCATATTTCAATCCTTTTAAGATATTCCTTTCAAATTATGCATAAATTTTACCTTAATAACCTTATATGCGAGATTGATGTCTGGTACCATTGTGCAAGATTGCTTTCTGACGTGGAGAGTGAAATCAAGTAGTCAGAAGGAGCTTGGAATGGATAAACAACATCCTCAAAAGACCAAGAAATTGGGGATTTCCGGATTTGGGATCGAAACTACACTGGGGACTGCGCATGTGTAATTAGGGGACAGGAATTTGGCCAAAGGCCACATTTCCTGTCTTGTAATTGTAGCAGTAATGTAAGGGCCCAACATATGTTTGGACGAGGCCAAATTTATTTTGAGGTTGTAAAACATGACAGGGTTACAAAGCTAATCGTGTGACATTATAGTCAGAGCTTCCAATCACAGTGTCTACGTAGAGGCAATTGCTGTAGAATAAATCCTGGTACATGTTATATCTAAAGTGACCAGTTGCTTTGTAAGTTCTTGACCATTTATTCTTGACAGCTGGCAGACTGTTCCTTCTATATTCCCTTTTTGTACACTTGTCTATCTAGAAATATAACAAAACAAATTTGGGCATTAAAGTAGATCTATTGTCAATGCTGCAGCTTAATCTTAAATAATTTGCTAAACTTTGTGTTAACTGAATTCGTTCACAAAAAACTATAATAGAATAGTTGATTGATATCTTTCTGGAAGTTCATTCCTCTCTCTGAAAACTTGTATGAATAGAATATGTTAAAACCATGAAGATAACTGAATTTTTCTCTTGTTCAATATGAGGGACCGGCTCGACCTGCTTTTACTGTAGTTACTGTAAAATATATTTATTTTGATGTGTAGTCCTTTTACCAGTCATGCAATGCTATATGATAGACTCTTGGTCACTTATTCTTCCAGGTGGGCGATTTACTGGGAAAATATCCAGATCTTATGGAGGGGTTTAATGAATTTTTGCTACAATCTGAAAAAAATGGTAACATTCGAACTAATTTATTACTTTCTATGAAGTTAATGTTTTTAATTTATTTCTAATAAAATCCTATGATACAGATGGTGGATTCCTTGCTGGTGTTATGAATAAAAGTAAGATGTTCTTCTGTTTTCTGATATATGACCCTTTTTAGTTTTATGTAAATTGATCTGGTTCACATGACCATTTGCAGTTTTATCGTCTGATCTCAAAATTTTGTTTTTGTCAGAGTCCTTATGGAATGATGGACATGGACTGAAACAAATGAAGGGTGAAGACAGGGAAAGAGAACGGGATCGAGATAGAGACCGTTATAGGGATGATGGGATGAAAGAAAGGGACCGAGAATTCCGAGAAAGGGATAAATCTACTGTGATTGCCAGCAAGGATGTTTTAGGTTCTAAGATGTCTCTATATCCCAGCAAGGATAAGTATTTATCAAAACCAATAAATGAGCTGGACCTTTCTAACTGTGACCAGTGCACTCCTAGTTACAGGCTCTTACCAAAAAATGTATAGTTAATTTATTTGTTGCTTTGTATTTTATCTTTTTCTGATAGAATCTCTGAGATTCTGTTGTTGCTGATTTGTTTTGCATGTGTATTTTCTGTGCTTATGCAGTACCCAATACCTATAGCTAGCCAGAAAACAGAACTTGGTGCTGAAGTGTTGAATGATCACTGGGTGTCTGTCACTTCAGGGAGCGAGGATTATTCCTTCAAACATATGCGGAAAAATCAGTATGAAGAGAGCTTGTTTAGATGCGAAGATGACAGGTAAGAGCTTGACAGTGATGTTTATGTACATTTTAAAAGACCTGTTTTGTTGATTTATCTTTTATGGAAGACCACTGTCACACTTGCCATATTATTCCAGTTTTTGTTTTTGCCATCATTGTGTTGATCAGGACATGATTTTTGTAAGTTGTCTATCATCTGCACTTGCTGATATTATGTTAACTGTACTGGCAGGTTTGAACTTGACATGTTGTTAGAGTCTGTGAATGTCACAACCAAACGAGTAGAAGAGTTGTTAGACAAGATCAATAATAATACAATTAAAGGAGACAGCCCAATTCGTATTGAGGAGCACTTAACAGGTATATAGTCTTTTCAATTGATCAAGGGAATTGCTTAAAGCAGATATGCAGTGTGAGATAATTTCTTGAAGTTTTACATATTGTGATGTGATTATCTTTGTATGTTTTTTTAGCTATAAATCTTAGGTGTATTGAACGATTATATGGTGACCATGGGCTTGATGTGATGGAAGTGTTAAGGAAGAATGCACCTCTAGCTTTGCCAGTGATATTAACGCGCTTGAAGCAGAAACAGGAAGAGTGGGCAAGGTGCCGTTCTGATTTTAGTAAAGTTTGGGCTGAAATATATGCCAAGAACTATCACAAATCTCTAGATCATCGTAGCTTCTACTTTAAGCAGCAGGATACGAAAAGTTTAAGCACCAAAGGTAATAGATAACTTTTCATTTCAATTATGTTGAATCCTCAAACCTTTTTATGTTTGAATTAAATTATTTGCTTACGATAGCAAAAAGTTTAATTATGTATGATATCATAAATATATTGTTGATATCCCTAAACCTGAGATGTCAATCAAACACTATAGTGCTGTTGTGTTGCGGGCCTTGCTGGCTATGGGCCACTCTGCTTCTATCATGTCACTGCTTGCTGATGTGCTTGTAGTGACACAAACCACTGCCATATTTGGGTGTTTCGTGGCAATAACAGGTCAAACATTGATTAATGGTTGAAAACCCGTGGTTGGCCCCACAAAACTGTGATGTTTAAGATTTATTTTGGGGGACAATTTTGTGATTTTACTCCCTTATTCGGGTTTTAAATTGAAACCCTATGCTCCAACATTGTGTGCCCTTGTGTCTGTGAAGCACAGCCCACTATCTTCTGGGGAAGCCATTTCTTACATATCCTGGCACCGTCCTATTATTTACCATACAGTGGTACATTTGGATTGATTTTTATTTAACTTTATATTGATCACAAAACACCAGTATTTCTCTAAAGTTTAGTACCATTCAAAACAAAATCATTGGTATGCGAATATTTGAATGTAGTGATATTTTTGGCAGATGATAGTGATAATGATACAACAGTTCTTTTCATTTTCCTGACATCTTTCTGTTATCAAACTTTTTACAGCCTTGCTGGCAGAAATCAAAGAAATCAGTGAAAAGAAACGCAAAGAAGATGATGTCCTTCTTGCTATTGCTGCCGGAAACAGACGGTCAATTCTACCAAACTTGGAGTTTAAGTATTCTGATCTTGATATTCATGAAGATTTGTATCAGCTCATAAAATATTCCTGTGGTGAAATTTGCACAACCGAACATGTGGATAAAGTTATGAAGGTTTGGACAACGTTTTTAGAGCCCATGCTTTGTGTTCCTCCTCGGCCCCAGGGTGCAGAGGAAACAGAAGATGTTGTCAAGACTAAGAATAATCATGTCAAAAATGGCAATGCAAGTGTTGCTGACAGTGATGGTAGCCCTGTTGGGGGTGCTACCATCATGAATCCAAAGCATATAAATGTTTCCAGAAATGGGGATGGTTGTATGCCAATAGATCAATCAACTTCTAGCAAAGCATGGCAATCAAATGGTGATATTGGGGTTAGGGAGGATAGGTATCTTGAAGACCGTGCAGTGCGTAAAACTGAAACTTTGGGAAGTAATGCACAGCATGGCAAAATGAATAATATTGCTTTCACACCTAATGAACTATCAGGATTTAATAATAAGCAAGACCAGTCCAGCGAGCGGTTAGTGAATGCAAATGTCTCACCAGCATCTGGAATGGAGCAAAGCAATGGAAGGACAAACATAGAAAACTTGTCAGGTTAGCAAGTTCAACATTGATGCTACTTCTTGATGCTTACCCCTACCATTAATTGAAAGTATTATGTCATTAATTTCTCGCATCGTCTGCAACTGTTTCTTTTCGAGAATGTTCGGAACTGAGATGCATTTTTTTGTACAAGGACTCACTGCCACGCCAACTAGACCTGGTAATGCTTCTGGTGAGGGAGGACTTGACATACCACCTTCAGAGGTATGGATTAACTCTGTAGAACTTATGTCAGTTTCAATTTAAATTTTGCTTATTCTACATTCATCTTGAGGATAAATTTTGATTTTCTATCAATAAACTAACATACATTGGTGCTAGAGGCTTCTTGCTTCTTGAAGGTAGGAGAGAGGGTCATTGTATGCAACCTTGCATATGCAACGAGGCTGTTTCAGGATTCCTATCCATCATCCTCTTTGATTTTCTGTTAATATTAAGGAATTTTTTTGCACTGTTGGTAAACAAATCGGTGCCATGTCACCGTCAAAATGGTTAAAATACATTGTGACGTAAGTGAAGCACCTTGCCTACTCCAATGATGCGAGACTTGTTTTCTGATAACATATAATTATATTGAGTAGGCCTGTCTTTAGATCTATTTAAAATGACAACATGTGATAATAATAAAAATTATATTGTGGATTTCAAAGGGCATATGACTGAGATTACTCATTACTCACTGTCATTAGCATCACCTCCAATTGCCTTAGAAATCTTCAACCATTATATTGCGAGCCGTATTTTAAGTAGGAGGTATTTTCTCCTTTAATTTGATCAAGTTCATTGTGGCAGAAGTATTTTCATGATTAATACATCTCCTAATATGTATAGGGTTGATGAGTGATCTTTCTACTACGAATTGATCCTCAGATAGTGATTACTAAGATTTGAGTAGTAAGCCATAAATTTTTAGCTTTTCAAAATAGAATGCGAAGAACACTCTTTACTTTGTATTTATGTATAAGGGTCTGCTGTGACTTCCATATTTGCAAAGTTCATCTCTATCATCATTCTTCAAATATTTTCAGCATTATAACACAAACAATGTGCTTTATCCTTTTAAAGCTAGTAATTTTGTGACATCATACCGAATAATGTTTTAATTTTGTCATACCAGGCATCATTCCAAATAATTTGGTCATTTTTTTGTTTCTTTATCATGGCTTAGGGTGGTGATTCTGCAAGACTGGGTACATCCACAAATGGGGCCATCACTGGAGGCACCAAGGTTCACCGATACCAAGAGGAATCAGTTCGACCCTTCAAAAGTGAAAGAGAAGAGGGTGAGTTATCTCCTAACGGAGAATTTGAAGAAGATAACTCTCCAGTTTATGGAGATATTGGTTTGGATGCAGTGCATAAAGGAAAGGATGTTGGTGTGAGTCGGCAATATCAAGATAGACATGGGGATGAAGTTTGTGGTGAAACAAGAGGAGAAAATGATGCTGATGCTGATGCTGATGATGAAGGTGAAGAAAGTCCTCACAGGTCGTCAGAGGACAGTGAAAATGCATCTGAAAATGTTGAAGTTTCTGGAAGCGAGTCTGCTGATGGTGAGGAGTGTTCTCGAGAAGATAATGAGGATGGGGAACATGATAACAAGGCTGAGAGTGAAGGTGAAGCTGAAGGAGTAGCTGACGCCCATGACATTGAAGGAGATGGGATGTCATTGCCATATTCTGAACGCTTTCTCCTGACTGTGAAGCCACTAGCAAAGCATGTTCCTCCAATGTTACAAGAGAAGGACAGGAATTCACGAGTTTTCTATGGAAATGATTCTTTTTATGTGCTTCTTAGACTTCATCAGGTACAAAAATATCTATTTACACATACAAATACAACCCCTCTCTGGTTTTCATAACCTAATTTACGATCTCTGCAATTTCAACTGTACGAACACCAAAGTTAATTTTTCATTTAGCATTATTACTGTTATTCTCTTATTCACAAGAAAATAAGAATGATTTGCCAGAGAGGTAATGTCTGAACTAGTCTGACTTGGTTTTTGCTTCTCTGTTTTTTTTTTGGTTTAATTCTTGCTACTGCTAAGTGATTGGGTATCTGTTACCAATAGATTCATTCCAAAAAGTTTGAGTGTGACCAGATGGCTGTCTTAGGAAAGGGAGGTGTTTGTACTATTCAAAATTTGAGGCAGTGAGAGGAACCTTTTGTGTAGGTTTTGAAAAGGTGGTGATGGTGCAGATATGTATGGTTGTAACCAAAATAGATATTTTTGAGTTTATTATACATTCATGCTGTAGCATTTCCTCTTATTATCTGAATGTGTGTGCATATCTATTATGTATTCGTTTTGTAATATTTCCTCATACTAATCTGACAGACATTATACGAGAGGATACAATCAGCGAAAATTAACTCATCATCTGCTGATAGAAAATGGAAGGCTTCGAGTGATACAAGCACCACTGATCAATATGACAGGTGATAGACCTAGGAAATGTATTATATTACAAATTACAAATTTGAATATATGTGTGAATAGTATGCAAGACTGATAGGTCTCCTTTATGCTACAGGTTCATGAGTGCCCTTTACAGTTTGCTGGATGGTTCTGCTGATAATACAAAATTTGAGGATGATTGCCGAGCTATAATTGGCATTCAATCATATGTCTTATTCACATTAGACAAGCTGATATATAAACTTGTTAAACAGGTCAAATACATAAATTTCTTTTATTGTTGTTATTTGCACAGCATACTATCTTTCCTACCATTAAAATATCTCTTATTTTATTTCAGCTTCAAGCTGTTGCCGCTGATGAGATGGATAATAAACTTCTACAACTATATGCATATGAGAAATCAAGAAAACCTGGGAAATTTGTTGACATAGTTTATCATGAAAATGCCCGTGTTCTTCTACATGATGAGAATATATATCGCATTGAATATGTAAGTTTTATTTAGCCTTTTTGTCTAGCTAGGCCTGCTCCTAGTGAAGCTTTTAATAGTGCTACGAGTTCTGTGACGGTAACCTAGTTTATTCCGATGCAGTCACCTGGAGCAATGAAACTGTCTATTCAACTGATGGACTCAGGACATGATAAACCTGAAGTGACTGCTGTTTCAATGGATCCTAATTTTTCGACCTATCTACTCAATGACTTCCTGTCTGTCGTCCCTGACAAAAAAGAGAAGTCAGGAATTTTCTTGAAGAGGTATTTGATTAGTCAGTAGAATTATTAGCCATTTCATACTAATGTTTATTTTTGTAAATTTATTTTATTCATGTTGTCAGGAATAAACATAGATATGCTGGTAATGATGAATTTTCAAGCCAGGCTATGGAAGGACTTCAGATTATTAATGGTCTGGAGTGCAAGATAGCTTGCAGTTCATCTAAGGTTAATATAAGAAGATTTTATATAGTTTGTTTTGCTCCATAGTATTAGATTGTGTTTCTGAATTTACAGCTTTACATTTTCTCCTTGTTACCTGTTTGTCAGGTCTCGTACGTTTTAGATACTGAAGACTTTTTGTATCGGGTGAGAAGGAAACGAAGAATCTTGCGTCCGAAGAATTCAGGCGCCCATGAACAGGCACAGTCTTCGAACATTCGTTCAAGAAGAGTACAACGTTTCCGCAATTTGTTTTCCATTACATGAAATTGTCCATTTTGAGCCCGGCATGGTATGCAAAATTCTTTTTATTTCTAAATGTGTTATATTGGGCATGTGTCAAACTTCCAAACAGATGCAGAACGCATTTTTATGTTATACCTCTTACCGTTATATTTTAAAAATGTCCTTTGTTCTTTTCTAGTCAGTGGGAATTTGTAATAACAAAATCTGATTAATAATTGTTTTTTGGTTTTCCTTTTCAGTGATAGTTGTCAAATGTCATTGGCAGAGGCGCATGAAAACGCACCCTATACAAGTAGATCAAGGGATGTTTATCAGAAATTATTTTTGCAAATTTTCTCTGAGGAGCAACCTAATAATAAATCTTACAGAATGAAGGGGACGGTGATGAGAGGAGATTGTTGTATACTGTAATCGGTGGCTTAGATGGCTCTCAATAATGTAAATAGAGGTAATTTGTGATGTAACTAGAGGACTTTTTATTTCATTCATCAATATTTTTGTTATTTAGTTTTTATTTTCCCCTTTCACTTTAGCTGCTACAAATATTGAGGTTTATTGATCATGGAAACATTCGGTGGCTGCAATTGGCCTCCAGTTTCAAATACAAAGTGTAGACCGAGAGTCTGCCCACATCCTTTTTCTTTTTGTTTCTCTTTTATGCTAATCATTTTCTTGGAATGCATTGCGCTCTGGTGTACGTCAGAAGAATGGAATGATGGATTGAAGTGGTCAACTTGACTATAGGAGTGTGTTTTATTTTTAAATGGTATATTTGGACTTGTTTTTAGCTAGTATGTTGGAGGAGCACTTTGGAAGGAGTTCAAAAAGAAAGAAGTTAGTTATACTGTAGAAGTGTTATGACATGTTAACCGTGTGCGATGGCGCAATGAAAAAATTAAACTCTTCTATAATGTTTTTTTCTTACATAAACTGTTTTGTAATTTTTTTGGGGAGGGATGTTAAATGGATTTTTTTATGAACTTGTGTAATTACAATTTTGTAAGGTAGAAATACGTTGTGTCTTGCCCATTGTTGCAACTTTTCCCAGTTGTAGAAGCCACTCTTTCAAATCACGGGCTTCTCACATTGCTTTTTTCAATTTTTGAATGAAAAACAATAATAAAATACACGACCACGTGGCACTGTTTGGCGTGGTAGTTTTCTAACGTATTAAATGGGGCTAAGATCGACAACCATTGCAACTTGTCCAACAAGATTTATTCATGAAATTATGATTGCTCTTAGGATAAGACCACACACGCCAGTTTATTAAGAGAAAGAAATTCTCAGCGCTTCACCTAATCAAACCATAAACCAATTACAGATATAATATGGAAAAGTGAGATTCGAGATGCAGGAATATGAATATAGACCATTAAATATTTAAATTATTAAAATAAAAAGAAAAAAATTGTGTGACTTTTTCAAGTAGTCATATGAATATTCAAATTTTGATCATTCATGCATAGTTGTGTTGTGAGCCTGTAGATTTTGAAAGAAAGAATCTAGAGAATCAATCTTTCTCTCTTTTGGTTTAATCTAAAATGTAAAGAAAAAAAAAACACTTCCACAGAAATATTTGGGCAGAAAAGAGTTTTTTTTTTTTTTTATTTTTTTTTTATTTATTTTTTTTTTTTTTAAGTTATAAAACAAAACTGCCCAAATCAACACCAGCTTTTCTTTTGTCTTCTTAGCAAATCAGCATCATTTACACTTGCCGCAGAGGTCTGCCTTCTTCTCATCAAATATACTTTTTGTATTTAAACTCAAAACTATTGAAAATCAAATCACAATATTGTTTTGTGTTATTTATTTTACAAAAATATTTTTTAATTAAAAAATCTTCAAAATATATTTTTACTTACTGCTGTTATTATTATTATTATTATTACATTAAAAAAAGTTAATAATTATTAATTTATATAATTTCTCAATTGAGAATATTTATGATATTTTACATATGCTTATATATATACTTTTATTTTCTTTCATTTTCTATGTAACGATTTATTTTTCAACTTTCATTTCTATCTAAAACAATCTAAAAATACATCTTAGTTTTCACTTTTTCTAAAAAAAAAAATGATAATTATTTAGCTTTAAGTAGAACTTAATGAAAAGTGATAATGATTTGACTCTAAGCATAACTTACATTGAAACAATTGTGACAGTTTTATTGTAAGTTATCTAAAATTTATTCTAAGAATTATTCATCGTCTTTTATTTTTTATTTTCTATTAATTTAATGATTCTCATGTGTTAGATTATTTATCTAAACAATTATTAATTGTCTTCGAATTTTGGCCACATACATCGTAACATTATATTCAAGTAAGATACTTTTTAAATTATGAATAAACTTTGAATATTCTTATTTTGAAGGTCATCGTATGTTTTGACTTAATGAAAGTAATTCATATAGTTTGATATAGTGTTAATCTTTTGAAAGACCACTCTTCATTAAGAGGTGTAAAAAAAGAGTAGCAATTCCACACACAGTATGCACTTAAAGCTACAAGAAAAACAAAATGTTTGAAAAAGTTTACATATATCATCACATTCAATTTAAAACTTTGTAACAAAACCAGTACACAATCTTACAGGAAATCACAGACATATATATATTCTTAAATGTTCTGTTAGAGCATCTTGTTATTAAAAATTATTTAAAAATAAAAATATATATTTTATCACGGGTGTTATATTTAAATTGTTTAAAAATAAATAAAATTGTTTAAAATTGAAAAAAAAAAGTTAGTTGTATACACAAGTTTTTATAATAAATTATTCAATTTTATTTTTCAATAATTTTAGTTAAAAACTCAAGTCCGCTTAAAAAAATATAAAAAAATCTTGATTTGTTTCCTTAATTAAGATTTAATTAATTAGTTTTTAAACTTAAAAATAAATATAAATTTAGTCATTTATCAATTTTACTATCATAAAAAATTAATAATGATAAATTTAGATGTAAAAAAATTAACATCACATTTTTTAAATTTTAAAACAACTTATCAATTTCAAAGCATAAATATCATAGATAAATTTTAAAAAAAAAAATAGATAAAAACATTTTTTCAGGTACGGCTGGATAGTTTATATAACTTTTGGCTCTTTATTGAGTAATTTTAGGATTTTTTTTTTTAATTTGATCTTTCTATTTTAACTGTAGAGTTTTGATTTAGCTGTTAACTTGACATCCAATAATTTACAGAAATATTAGCACACATTCTTTTGTAAATTGTAATACTGTGATAACAAGAAGTGTTATATTTAACTCATAAATTAAAATTACACACTCAATTCAATGTAATTTAAGATCAATTTTTTTTTTTGAAAAAAGGAAAAAACACAAGGAAGACGGAATTTGTGAAATATCAATAGTTAATGGACAAAAATCTAATGAAGTAAAATAATAATAAAAAACTGGGTCTCATCCGATTTTGGATATTTAGAAATATCGCAGAAAGAATAAAAAACCCCACGGAAAGCAAAACTCGTCCTCTCCCGCCATGGCCACCAACACTCAACTCATCCTCTCACTCCCACCACGTTTCCCTTTTTCTCCTTCTCCAACTCCTCCTCCTCCTCCTTCTTCTTCTTCTTATTATTTCACATTTCTTCCAACAACAACCACTACTCTCTCTTTCTCTCTTCTTCACCTTCGATCCCCTCCTCTTTCCCTCAATTTCCGTGCCTCCTTCTCCTTCAAGTCCCCGACCTCAACCCTACGCGCATTCTCCGACGCCGAGGAGGACGAAGAGGAAGAAGAAGAAGAAGAAGACGACGAAGAAGAAGATGATGATGAAGAAGACGAAGATGAAGACGACGATGTTGCTGCCGACGAATACGACGACGTATCCAGCGATGCTCCCGAGGACGACGCTGGTGTGTTTGCTCGCTACGACGGATTCAAGTGGCAAAGAGTTGAGAAGCTCTGCAACGAAGTCAGGGAGTTCGGCGCGGATATCATCGACGTCGACGAGCTCGCCTCCGTGTACGATTTCCGCATCGACAAGTTTCAGGTTCGTTAAACGTATTTTCTCTTCGTTTCTAAAAATCTCCTCGTATTTGAAACGTGTATTGTTGATGTTTTTTGGGTCTGGTTGAGTTTCAGCGGCAGGCGATACTAGCGTTTCTGAGAGGCTCGTCGGTGGTGGTTTCTGCTCCGACGAGCAGCGGGAAGACGCTAATTGCGGAAGCCGCGGCGGTGGCCACGGTGGCTAGGGGACGGCGAATATTCTACACGACGCCGCTCAAGGCGTTGTCCAATCAGAAGTTTCGAGAATTCCGGTGTGCAGTGATTAGAATCTGAATTTGATATGTTTTTGCTTTTGATTTTGCGTTTGTAAGTGTGCAAGTGTGAGGGCGAGCTGCTTCTATCTACTGTTATTTGGAAGTTAAATTGTTGCTGGTTTTTGCTTTGTATTTTCAGTGAGACTTTTGGTGACAGTAATGTTGGCCTTCTTACTGGTGATTCTGCCGTGAACAAGGATGCTCAGGTTTTGATCATGACCACGGAGATATTGCGCAACATGTTGTATCAGAGGTACATTGCATTAAAATATGGGAAATTAGTTATTTGATTCGTTAGTCTTTGCTATTGTGCTATAGAAATGTTTCGGGATTGTGGTGTTGTTTTGCGTAGTTTCCAATTTCATTAATAGCACTATATCGATGAGGCTAGTGCGAGATACGTGTTGCACAAGGTATTAGCAGTAATTGCAGGATTGTTGTCTTGAGCTAGTAGAAATTTAGTATCCAGCTCCAGTGATTGTTATCTTTGGTTGTGTTTATTTAAGTTATCTTATTACATTTCCAAGTTACATCCCTAGAATACTGTAGTCAGGAATTTGATTTGTTAGTAAATTCTGGAAATTGTTATATACTGATGAATTTACTGACCTTGAAACAGACACATTCGAAACTCCTAACCTTGTGTTTAATGATTTGATTATAGCAATGTCATCTTCATTGTTGTTTGTTCTCACCTGAAGTTTTATTATTGTCAAATTTATTCTTTAATCCTATCTACTTTATTTTTTGTCGATACTTTGTCTAAAGCAATAGCATCTGTATAGTTTCTCTTTTGAATTGTTTTTTTTTTTCATTTTTATCAACATTTGCGAATATGAGTAATTTTATAATACTGTTTTTCTTGCAGTGTTGGTAATGTTTCTTCTGGAAGTGGACTTGTAAATGTTGATGTGATTGTTTTGGATGAAGTTCATTACCTGAGTGACATATCTCGTGGTACAGTTTGGGAGGAGATTGTAAGCATGATTTATTCGTCTTTGCATGTTACATAGCTTGCTCAAGTTCTCTTATTTGTTCATGCATGTTTGGACTATATTTGCAGGTTATTTATTGCCCAAAAGAAGTTCAACTAATTTGCCTTTCAGCAACTGTTGCAAATCCAGATGAGTTGGCTGGGTGGATTGGTCAGGTATTCAGATTGTGGTGGTGATGTCATCAATTAAAGTAGCAGAACGCACTGTGTTCCTGTAAAATGAACCAGCATTAAACTTCAGTGATTAATCTAGTTACATTGCATAATAGATAAGCAATAGATAAATGAACCCCCTTAAAACAAATATTGCAAGATAAGCTATGGGTAAAAAGAGAAACCAGTTACACTGCATAATCGATAAATGAACCCCCTTAAAATTATAGCTGCTGAAACATACAATTTAGCTAAAAATATCCATGTAACTCAATATAAGGTGAAGGAAATGTTAACTTTTATGAAGCATCTAGATTCTGGATGGTATGGTATGTTTTATAAGTAGTTGTATTGTATTTAATAAAATGCCAAGCTTCAAGTGGGGACTGGAAACTTGCTAAATTTGTTAATTATCAAGCATGAAATTCATTTTCTGTATAAAGATTATCTCACCATTGTACTTTTTTTTTTCGAAGGCATGAGAGATTTTTCAGAATTTAGTTGGAAAATTTCCCTAACTGAATATTGTTTTTAAGGAATTTTGTAGAGTTGATAATCTTGATGGACTTTGGACAGTTTGGGATATGTAACGCTGGTTCAACGCTTAAAATTGCTGATATTCTATCCTTTCTAGTACAGGATCCTGAATTTTCCAAATAATGTGATGCTTGGTGTGTAACTTTATATATCAGAATTTCTCTTCGTACTATATTTGGGGACAAAGAACTAGATAAATAATTTACACCATTTTATGTAAAATTACCTTCCTTTAGAGTGACTTAATTATGGTTTCATTTTGTATGATTTAAGGGTTCACAGGTATTGGGTTTAGTGCTATCGCATCTTCACTGACTGATGAATTGTATCTAGTGAATATTCAAATAAATTAAATATAGTTTTCTTCATTTTAATTTGGTAATCTACCTAGGCTAATTCTCTTTGTAACCCTGCAAAATGTTTTTGGCTTTCAGATTCATGGTGAAACTGAATTGGTAACATCTTTGAAACGCCCAGTTCCGTTGACTTGGCATTTCTCTATGAAGAATTCCTTATTTCCACTTCTTGACGAGAAAGGAACACACATTAACAGGTGCTACCTAGGATACTCATTTCATTTATTCAGTTTAGTTGTTACGTGTTACATAATTGCATTTTTATTTGTAAACTGTCCTATTTGTTTTCATTTTACAACATGAAAAGTGGAATTGTTAATGGCCTAACAGTCAAACTTGTTTTGAAGCTGGTGGGTGTCTGGCAGTATATTGTCTGTCATTTAGGTGTGTGGATAGGTGTTCATATTGGACCTACGATTGGTTGGTACTAAAAAACCAATTTTAGCAGCAAAAAGAATCAAATGTTATTTATGAGCATTCAGTGCATGTTTGGTCCGGCGTTTGGACACTTGGATCCACGTTTTGGATGTGAAAACTGAGTTATTCAAAATAGCTTCAATTTGGATGTGGGTCACATGTTCACATTTGACTCAAACCTGACATGCACTAAATAGCATCCTTACCCAGTGGACTTTTTTTTTTTTTTTTTTTCTAATTACACATAATACCTCCCCCTAAGCTATGGGAAGGGCGGAGGATAACACTACATTTTCGACACTGAAAATTAGGCAATTGAATTGTGAGTGCTTATCATATGATCTGTGAATGGTTGCTATTCAAAGTGGATGATTATTCCAAGTATTTCCTTATTCACAATGATACTAATAGTCAATAGATGGGGCTGATGAAGAATGGTGAGAGGCTTGGATTAGCATGGAATATGGATTTGGCTGCTCTGAAGTGCAGGAGTTTAATATTGTGTGCTTCAGTAAGAATTACTGACAAGGTTAACTGATTGGATTTTGGACTACTAATAAGAGCAGGGATGATCTCCACAATTTTTTTTTTCATAAATGGCTACTAATTCATCCAATTTAACTACTTATTGATCAAACAATGTTGTGGACTGTGGTAGTCATTGTTGTAGCATCAATGTTCTTATAGAATTGTTTCAGCACACAATACATCAATGTCTGTGGTGGGGGAGGCCTACAGCAATAGCTTTGGTGGCATAATTGGTACTGGTGGTGATGATGATATATTGATTGTGATGGTTATTTATATATAACACTAATATTGTATTGTGAATATACATGTATCAAGTCTTTTTTCAAAAAGAAATTGTGAAGATATAATTATTCTGATATAATAAAGATAGCAATAAAATAAACTAGTAAGGATTATGTATTATTTAACAACTGTAAACCAGTAAATACTGAAGATTATCATCATTGTTTTATTTACTGAGTCGAATAAAAATGGAAACTTAGTTTCTTCTTTTATATAAAGCAGGAAGCTGTCATTCAGTTATTTGCAACTTCAAGCTGCAGGGGCTAAACCTTACAAGGATGATTGGTCTAGAAAAAGGAATTCTCAGAAACGGGGAGCACGCTTTAGCTATGATAGTGATGATAGCATGTTTGAACAACGATCTCTTTCAAAGAATAACATAAATGCCATTCGCCGTTCACAAGTAAGGCCTCTGAATCAATTTCTCTATGCTCTCGGTACTCTATGATATCATATGGGCCATGGGTTCCCTGTCTTTCACGACTTAAAATCTTCACGTTGAAGTTTGGGGGGGGGGGGGTGTGTTACTTTTTATGTATTCAATAATCATTCATGAATATTGAGTATACAATCTGGGTTGTGATATACACTTGGGCTAAAAGCACTCTTATTTTATCGAATAAATAAAAAAAAATTGATGGAGTATATTTTTAACCTTTGTCAGGTTCCTCAAGTAATTGATACATTATGGCAACTTCAGTCCAGGGATATGCTGCCAGCTATTTGGTTTATATTTAGCAGGAAGGGTTGTGATGCAGCTGTGCAATATCTAGAAAATTGCAAACTTTTAGATGAGTGTGAATCAAGCGAGGTTGAGCTAGCCTTGAAGAAGTTCAACAAGCAGTATCCTGATGCTGTCAGAGAATCAGCTGTAAGAGGACTTTTGCAAGGGGTTGCTGCACATCATGCTGGATGTCTACCTTTGTGGAAGGCATTCATAGAAGAGTTGTTTCAAAGAGGACTTGTTAAGGTTGTTTTTGCCACTGAAACCCTTGCTGCTGGAATCAATATGCCTGCTAGAACAGCCGTTATTTCATCCCTCAGCAAAAGGGGTGATAGTGGGCGTATACCATTAAGCTCAAACGAACTGCTTCAGATGGCTGGCCGTGCCGGACGCAGAGGCATTGATGAAAGTGGTCATGTAGTCCTCATCCAAACTCCTAATGAAGGTGCTGAAGAGGGCTGCAAAGTACTTTTTGCTGGACTAGAGCCTCTAGTGTCCCAGTTTACTGCTTCATATGGAATGGTTTTGAATCTTCTTGCTGGTGTGAAGGCCATTCAGTGGTCAAATGAATCAGGTAACATGAAACCTTCCACGGGGAGAACGTTGGAAGAAGCTAGGAAATTAGTCGAACAGAGTTTTGGGAATTATGTTAGTAGCAGTGTAATGCTGGCTGCTAAAGAGGAGCTTTGTAAAATTGAGAAAGAAATTGAGTTGCTGATGTCAGAAATTACTGATGAAGCTGTAGATAAAAAAACCAAGAAGACTTTAGCACCACGGCAATACAAGGAAATTGCCGAATTACTGGAAGATTTAAGAACAGAGAAGCGTGTTCGATCTAGACTGCGGAAACAGATGGAAGCAAAGAGAATGTCTGCCCTGAGACCTTTGTTGGAGGAGCCCGATAGTGGACATTTACCATTTTTATGCTTGCAGTATAGAGATTCTGAAGGAGTAGAACATTCAATTCCTGCTGTGTTTTTGGGGAAGGTTGATTCCCTTAATGTTTCAAAACTCAAAACTATGATTTCTTCTGTTGATTCCTTTGCATTGAATTTAGCAGAAGCAGAGCCAAATGTTGCAGATTCTAAACTAAATAAAGATCTTGAACCTTCATATCATGTGGCTCTTGGTTCAGATAACACTTGGTATCTTTTTACAGAAAAGTGGATTAAGACGGTATATGGGACAGGCTTTCCTAATGTTCCATTGTCTCAAGGGGATGCTCGGCCTCGAGAAATTATGAGTACTCTCCTTGATAACGGTGACATGAATTGGGATAAGCTTTCTCACTCTGAGCATGGTGGTTTATGGTTCAAGGAAGGATCTCTTGATACATGGTCTTGGAGCTTGAATGTTCCTGTTCTGAGTAGCTTGTCGGAAAATGATGAACTACTACTAAAGTCTCAAGATTACAAAGATGCCATTGAATGTTACAAGGACCAAAGGAATAAAGTTGCACGATTGAAGAAGAAGTTAACTCGAAGTGAAGGCTATAAAGAATATTTTAAAATTATAAACGCAGTCAAGTTTGTTGAGGAGAAAATAAAGCGCCTAAAGAATAGATCTAAACGTTTGATTAATAGGATTGAACAGATTGAACCCTCGGGTTGGAAGGAGTTTATGCAGGTTAGCAATGTCATTCATGAAATCAGAGCTTTAGATATTAATACACATGTCATATTTCCACTTGGTGAAACTGCCGGTGCAATTCGAGGAGAAAATGAGCTATGGCTTGCAATGGTTCTTCGCAATAAAATTTTACTAGATCTAAAACCTGCACAACTTGCTGCAGTGTGCGCAAGTTTGGTGTCCGTGGGTATCAAAGTCCGACCTTGGAAAAATAACAGCTACATTTATGAACCTTCTGCAACTGTAACCAAATTCATAACGTTATTAGATGAACAAAGAAACGCCTTATTGGCGTTGCAGGATAAACATGGGGTGACAATCTCTTGCTGTTTGGATAGCCAGTTTTGTGGCATGGTTGAGGCCTGGGCTTCTGGGTTGACATGGAGAGAAATAATGATGGATTGTGCAATGGATGATGGCGATTTAGCTCGTCTCCTTCGCCGCACCATTGATTTGTTAGTTCAGATTCCAAAATTGCCAGATATTGATCCATTGTTGCAGCGCAATGCTAAGGCTGCTTCTGCTATCATGGATCGGCCTCCGATAAGTGAACTTGTGGGGTAATCTCTGTCTCTAAACATTTGTTTGTAGATTTTGTATGAGTAATCTTTTATGATGTTATTATCATCTTTAATATTATTATTAACAAAAATATGAAAGGAAATTGTTCCATTCCAATGAAATCGAGCCCAAGATGGTTTTCACTGGGGCTAATTCTTATTGACATGATCATATCCTTGCTGTTAAAAATATGTCAATTTCCAATTTATGTTAAATTAAAAATTGTATGATGTCTACAAATTTAACATCTGTCATGTCTTATGACGTCTACAAAAATTGTTCTACGATATTAGTGGTATTTTTGTTAAATTTTGATGGGATTTATTTTTTCTAATGTTTTTCAGACAATGTCAGGTTAAAGAATTTTTCAACTGACATTCATTGAAAAGTTGGAAGAAAATCATCCCAATAAATAAATGATTTAGAAAACATAATTACGACTAATATTAATTAAAAATATTAATAAAAAATCGTTGATTGATATTTTTTAAAATTATTAAATATTGAAATCGTGTTGTACATTGATTAAAATATTTTATACAAATGTTATCATCAAGATAATGTTAATATTATTTTGTAGTTGCCGTAGACCCCAATTATTTTAGTTAAGACTAATCTTTTTTATCAGGTTTTACTCTAAAGTTGTAATTTTTTTATCTGCACATGACAAATGCCAAAAATTATGTTTAGAAGTTAGCAAGTTTGGCTGTGACTGTGACAGAGAGTCACGCTCAATATAATTTAGTGTAAGAAAAAGATTGATGTTATTATTTTTTTATTAGTAATTTAATCTAATTGTAAGTAGGTTGAATTATGATGGTTATTTAGATTAAATTTAAATGATTTTAAAAAATGATTTATTAATAAAATATTTAAAAATAAATATATTTTAAAATTATTTTAACATGTTATTATCACATTTTAATATAATATTTTTAAATGAAAAGATAAAAAAATAAAGAGTAGAGAGAGAAAAACAATAAAGAGTAAATGACAACAGGGAAAGAAAAAAAAGTGAGACAGAAAGAAAAAAAGAGAGATAATTGTAAGAATGATAAATCGATCCAAATAAATAAATAAATTATTTAAATAATTTTTATTTTAAAATATATTATTTATTAGATAGATTCTTCCACTTATATTTTCAAAAAAGTCAATTATATTTTAGAACTTGAAACTTTTTTAAACATTTAACGTAAACAAAACTCTTTTCATTTTTATCTTTTAGAAGTCACAAAATTTATCCAAAACATATTCTTATTCGTTGAACAAGATAAGATTAATAAAATTTAAAAATATCCGGGAAATATTTTAAGTCAAACAAATTCCTTTTTTATTCATTATTTGAAAATTCTTGCCACAGTCATTACCGAATGAGATTAATCTTTAATCTTAAATAGGAAAAATAGGTGTAAAAAAAATTACATAAACAAGATCTGTATTTGAATAATAACAAGGAGTTTTATTCATTTACAAAACGTATGTAAATTTATTTCTTTATTAAACTATTCTTGCATAAACGATATCTTAAAAAAGAAGTAGAAACGCCTAACACGAGTAGCCAATGAAAGAGTGACACGTAAGATCACTTGAGTGGTGAGAACAGTACTTCAGTTATTCTCTTCGTTCTTTTCTAAAGCTCTCTTTTCAGCTAGCTACTCCACCAAACAAACCCTGCACCAAACCCTTCAATTCAACTCCAATCCCTCCTTCCACCATTAAACCCCCCCACCCCCCCAAAAAAAAGAAAAAAGAAAACACAAATTTTCTTCTCATCAGATCGCCATGGCTCTCTCACGTTTATCCCACCGCGCCATCGGATCCAATCTCTTCAAGCCCTTCGCCGCCGCCGCCGCCGCCGTCTCTTCCCGCCCGATTTCCTCCGACGCCTCCCTCACCATCGAGACCTCCGTCCCCTTCACCGCGCACAATTGTGATGCTCCCTCACGCTCCGTCGCCACCTCCCCCTCCGAGCTTCTCTCCTTCTTCCGCGACATGGCCCTCATGCGCCGCATGGAGATCGCCGCCGATTCCCTCTACAAGGCCAAGCTCATCCGCGGCTTCTGCCACCTCTACGACGGCCAGGAGGCCGTCGCCGTTGGCATGGAGGCCGCCATCACCAGAAGAGACTGCATCATCACCGCCTACCGCGACCACTGCACCTTCCTCGGCCGCGGCGGCACGCTTCTCGAGGTGTTCGCGGAGCTGATGGGGCGCAGGGACGGGTGCTCGAAAGGGAAAGGGGGTTCAATGCACTTTTATAGGAAGGAGGGTGGGTTCTACGGTGGGCACGGGATCGTGGGGGCGCAGGTTCCGTTAGGGTGTGGTTTAGCGTTTGCGCAGAAGTATAGTAAGGATGAGACTGTGACTTTTGCCTTGTATGGAGATGGGGCTGCCAATCAGGGACAGCTTTTCGAGGCGCTTAACATTGCCGCGCTTTGGGATCTTCCTGCTATCTTGGTCTGCGAGAATAATCACTGTGAGTCGCTTACTTCGGTGCCGCATGATTGCTCCATGATCTGGAGGAGCTTATCTATAAGAACTTCTAGGAGAGAGAACACAAAAATAGGAAGAGAAAATAGTTTTTCTAAATTTTATTTTCGACTTTTTTAATAAGTAAGTTTTAGTTAGTTTTAGTTTTAGTTTACAGATAAATTCATTTTAGTTTTTTCTTTTTCTTTTATAGAAGATCTTACCTACTCGTACACTTATCGAAACACTTATGCAAATTCCAATACAAGACGCATTCTTCAATGCATGAATTAGGAGGTGCGTATGAAAAAAAGACTGTAGCTTGAGCTCTCCGGAACATGCACTTACAAGTTGTGATCTTTAGAGTTGAGTTTTTTTTTTTTTTTTTCTTAAAAGTCTTGTAGTTGTCTCCGTTCTTGTTTTAACCCTTGGTCTAGAAAATTCAAAACTTGAGTACTCTATAATTGCATTAAAGTTAAGTTTTGGTCCGTGGCGGTGGCACAGGAGAAAATTTTCTGGCAGTATAAAACTAGTACTCTGATTTGCTGTGAGTGATAGACAGGTAGGATAAAATGGTCCGGAACTAAAGCTTAAAGTGTGAGCAAGTATAAGGATTTAAATGAATAGTTAAAGTATGTTGTTTTCTTTTGAACTGTATTTGTGACTCAGTAGTTTGGGTTTGGTGAACACAGATGGGATGGGGACTGCAGAATGGAGGGCTGCGAAGAGTCCTGCCTATTACAAGCGTGGGGATTATGTGCCTGGCTTGAAGGTGGGTTTGTTTGTGTGTCTTTTTGTGGAGTGTGGTTGATTAGTGAGTGTGTTTGGTTGATATGAAATTGATTAACGTGTTTCCTGCTGAAAAGGGGTGGGTCCATGTTTTTAATTGGGGCCTGCATGAAAATAATGCAATAACATTCTGTGTTGTTCTTGTTAGTTGAGGAAAGTAGTGTTTGTGTACTTAATGAATTGTGTAATGTCTTGGTTGGAAGGGATGGGTGTGTTTTAATTTATCTGGACTCTGGTTAATTGATGCACGATTGCATTCAGTGTTCTGATTAGTGAACATTTTGGTTCAGCTTATTTTTGGAGAGGTGATTGCTTACTTTTGCTGGCTTTCTGAATTTTTTTTAGGAATAAGTAATTGTTTCTCCTAAAACAATCCCAACCAAAACTTATATTTTGTTTTGACAGAACCAACAATTTTGTATTGTAAAGCATTGCACTATGAAGATTTATTTCATGTACAGTTGTGGAAAATGCTATGCTCAGATGTGTTGTTGTCAAATTATCATTTTGTATTGTGATGTTGTTTAAAGATTGTATATTACATCCTTATTGCCTACTGATTAATTAATTTGCCTTGCATATTAGTTCTTTGAAAATGTAGACACCGGATAACTATATTATTAAGTTCTCTCCCTCTTGCTTTGTTTTCAATCACATTCAAGGTTGTTAGAATAATTATTAAATCTATGTAATCATTAAGTCTGAGTACGGGATAGTGTGTTGGAAACATGTACTAGTTATCTTATTGTTGTACCTAGTTTTGTACCTAGGTATCTAGTGCGACCTTAGATCTTCTATGCTCTCTTGTATTAGACTTTTCAATATAAATAGAAGATGATTAAGAGGGGTGATTAAGCCTTCCAAACTATATTTTCCTGTTTCTTAACGTTAAATTGGTATCAGAGCGGGTTGATCCCGTTCTGCCTATCTAAGTCATCTCCAGAGCTGTCGTCGCCGTCATTGTCCACCGTCACAGTTTCTTTCGGCAACCACTGGATCTAGATCACCTCTTCGAGCAATGGCTAACCTTGCTGGTCTCAGAAGCCAGTTCCCTCCCATACGTCGTTACGTGCCTAGTCAAAATCCACTACAATCAGGTGTGTGTCACCCACGTGCCGGTCTCTCCTCGTCTAAATGTTGTCGTGCCACCTCCGTGGGTTTCATCGGAGCCTTCCCTTCCTATTCTAACCCTCAAAACTTCATTTTGGCAAAGTCCAAAAGCCATCCTAGTGAAGATCACCTTAGGGGTCTCTCTGCCCTAGTTTTTTTTGGCTCTCTATCAATAAAAATGGCTACCGAAGCTGTTGTTTCATTCTCTGGAAGTCCTTCCATTACTTTTGAGAAACTAAATGGAAAAAATTACTTTTTGTGGGCTGCATCTGTCGAAATATGGCTCCTTGGCCAAAGTCATCATGACGATCTTGAGAAAGATGTCGAAATATGGCTCCTTGGCCAAAGTCATCATGACGACCTTGAGAAAGATGGAAGCCATGTGCCTCCTGCAAAGACTGATCATGGAAGCAAGTTGATTTCTAGCTATGTGCCCTGCTATTCCAAACTGTGGAACCGAGGCTTTTGATTTCCCTTGGAGCCTTAAAACTTGTCATCTTTTTTGGAAGAAAGCTCAAGACATTTATGCAAATGATATTCAAAGTCTATATGATTCTGCCAACAGACTTGCATCTCTCGAACAAGATATGGTATCTTTCATGACTGATGCACAATCTATAGTTGAAGAGCTAAAGATGTTTTTGGAAGTAGAATCTTTAGATGAAATCAAGAAGAAACTTTATAAATATTATATGGTGATGATCCTCCATGCTTTTGCACCCATACTTTGATCATCTCCGGGATCAACTTCTTACCAGTGATGAGGTCCCTTCCATGGATAGTTTGACCACACGCCTCCTTCGAGTCCCAACGCCTCAAAGCAAGGAAGTTCATGAGCCGGTAGAACCATCAGTCATGGTTGCCACACAAGGAAGAGGAGGACGTGGCATTAGGGGTGGATGTGGTGGCCGACACCCAACTGCCTTTTTGTCAAGTGGGAGGGAAACTAACTTCCAAGTATTACTCTAATCAAGAGCCTGCATTTCTGCAATCATGGCTTATCGTCATCCAAGATGATCAAGTGTTTCCATCACATTTTTGGGAATGGGAATAGAAGACACTGAGGATAGAAAAGAACAATAGGGAGGCAATAATCGATGATAACTAAGAAAATTATAAGATGTGGGTTTCGAGTGGAACATATACCTTTTCTAAGAACAATGGGTCCGCCTGAATCTTCTTCATCAAGAGTTGTGGTGTTGGGTAACGATGGAGAAGAATTTGAAGTAGAGGATTCACCTGGTTCTTGGATAACTGGACTAGTTATTTGGTTCTCATGGATATCAATAGTAAGAGGACTGTGACCAACACTAGAATTAGTAAAGATACTGGAAGTAGTGGATTTGACTAATGGTATTGAGAGGACCAACTAAATGACATGCACATCTTGAACGAATGAAGAAAAATAAGGAGTCTGTTCAAAGAATATAACATTAGCAGACATATAGTACTTCTTGGTTTCAGGATAGTAACACCGGTACCCCTTTTGAAGTCGAGAATAGCCCAAGAAGACATATTTGATTGCACGAGCATACAACTTGTCGAACCCTGGAGACATGTCATGAACAAAACATACACAACCAAACACACGGGGAGTAATGTGAAAGAGAGAATCATTTGGAAAAAGAATGGAGAAAGGGACCTTATTATAGAGAGAGGAGGATGACATCCTGTTAATAAGAAAGCATGCAGTTAGGATGGCATCCCCCAATGGTGGACAGGAATATTTGCACCAAGCAATAGGGTACGAACAGTCTCAACTAAGTGTCTATTCTTGTTTTCTGTTATACCATTTTGCTGTAGTGTGTAAGGACAAGTGGACTGATGTAATATACCATGCAAACTGAAGGATGCAGAAAAATTGGATGAGAAGTATTCTTTGGCATTATCAATTTTCAAAATTTTGATTACTCGACCAAATTGGTTCTTGATTTCATTCAAAAAGGTTGTGAAGATAGACAACAATTCAATACGGTCTTTCATAAGATAAACCCAAGTGTATCTTGAGTATTCATTAATGAATGTGACCAAATATTTAAAACCAAAAGAAGAGACGCAACTGAGTCCCCAAATATCAGAGTGGATAATAGAGAAACTAGAATTACACCTTGTATCAGACCTTTTAAGAAAGGTAGATTTAACATGTTTTCCTAATAGACAGAACTCACATTCTAAGATTTGGAGACTACTAAGCTTGGGGACCATTTTTTTTTTACTTTGACAAATGATGATGACCTAAACGTTCATGTAACAATTTAGGACTTGGGGCTGCAACACAAGAAACATGGGCACTAGATCCAAAATGGTATAAACCTCCAGCTTCATATCCTTCTCCAATTCGTCTCCCCGAACCACGCTCTTGTATAATAAAAAACTTGTTATCAAAGGTTATTGAACAATTTAACGTTTTGGTTAACTGACTTAATGAAATTAAATTGAAAGGACAATTAGGGACAAAGATGACAAATTTTAGATTTAGGGAAGGAGATAAGGAGAGTTGACCAACCCCCTTTGAGGAAACTTTAGAACCATTTGCCAGAGTTATGAAATGATGTTTTTCTGGAAAAGAAAGGATGAAAACAAAGGTATTATCGGAGATTTGATCAGAAGCACCTGAGTTAATTATCCATGAATTTTGACCTTCCATGGATTGAGAAATACAGGTTGTTGATGTACTCGGAGTTTCAATGCAAGTTTATGGGCAGAATCATAGAGACATTGAATATCATTTGCATAAATGTCTTGAGCTTTCTTCCAAAAAAGGTGACAAGTTTTAAAGGCTTTATAGGAAATCAAAAGTTTTGGTTCCACAATTTGCCATAGCAGGGTGCACAACTGGAAATCAAATTGCTTCCACTAATAAGCCTTTTCAGGGGGGACATGGCTTTCATCTTTCTCAAGGTGGTCATGATGACCTTGCCCAAGGAACCATATTTCGACAGATACAGCCCACGAAAGATAATTTTTTCCCTTTAGTTTCTCGGAAGCAATGGAAGGACTTCCAGAGAATGAAACAATAGCTCTGATAGTCATTTTTGTTGATAAAGAGTCAGAAAACAACTAGGGCAGAGAGAACCCTAAGATGACCTTTGCTAGGTTGGCTTTTGGACTTGGCCAAAATGAGTTTTGAGGGTCAGAACAGGAAGGGAAGGCTCTGGTGATACCCATAGAGGTGGTGCGACAACGTTCAGATGCGAAGAAGGTGGCGCGTGGGTGACACGCGCCTGAATGAGCCGATTTTGACTAGGCGCGTGGGAGAGAACTAGCTTCCGAGACCGGCAAGGTTGATCGTCGCTTTGAGAGGCGATCCGATGGTCACCAGACAAAACTGTGATGATTGAGACAGATAGAGCAGGATCAACCCGCTCTGTTACCAACTTAATGTTAAGAAACAAGAAAATATAGTTTAGAGGGTTTGACTACTCCTCTTAATCATCTTTTGTTTATAATGAAAAATCTAATACAAGAGAGTATAGACACCTAGGTACAACAGTAGGACAGTTAGTAGGTGTTTCCAACACACTACCCCCTATTCTGACTTAATGATTACACATAGATTTAATAACTATTCTGACAGGATCAAATGACCAACTTGCATATATGTTGACCAAGTCCTTTAGAGGACTGAGTTCATTTGTTCCAAGCTTGGTACATACAATTTGTATGCTTCAGCTTGAGGGGAAGTGTTAGAATAATTATTAGATCTATGTGTAATCATTAAGTCTGAGTAGGGAGTAGTGTGTTGGAAACATCTACCAGTTCTAGTGCGACCTTAGATCTTCTATACTATCTTGTAACATAATTTTCAATATAAATAGAAGATGATTAAGAGGGGTAATTAAGCCCTCCAAATATATTCCTGTTTCTTAACGTTAAGTAAAGCCATTGCTTTTTATTTATTTTTTTGTATTTAAATTAGGTTCTTTAGGTCTTGCAAGTTCTCTAATAAAGTTTTTATTTTTGAGCAATGAACATGCTTCTTGTTATTGCATTTGATGTTGATACTTTTGTTGACTATCCTTTAGCCTAACATTTGGGCTCTGTCCCTGTCTTCAATGTTTTGATGTCTAAATGTGTAGGACTGTATTGGCTGTATGTTGGACTTTGCAATCATTGTTTCAAGTGTGTATTTTGTAGATGTTGGTATGCACTTGGATTTAGCATTCTTGTTTGCATATCTGTAAATAGGGCGATTAAGTATACTTAGTGGTCTTTTAGACAATCTTTTTAAACTTTTTAACAAATATTTTTACTTTGCACAGGTAGACGGCATGGACGTTCTTGCTGTTAAGCAAGCTTGCAAATTTGCAAAAGAACATGCTTTGAAGAATGGGCCCCTTGTGAGTTAATTGTTTCACTGTTATTTATACTTTAATTTGTCTTAAAGTTAATAATTCAGAATTGGATATTGTGAATTAGCCATTCATCTACTAAAGTTGACACTACACTATTGGTTAGGAGGGATTAACTGTTTTTTGTTGTTTATCAAATAGTTTAAGCCTTAGTGACAAGGTGTCATACTTGTTCATTAATTTGCTAATGATGAGAAGAATTACTTAAAGCTGGTCAAATCAACCATAAAAATGCTATTAGCTATCTGACTCGTTTGAAAGTATAGATCCATGAATTAAGGCATATTGAGTGCATATATAAGATGAGATTGTTTGGAAGTAGTCTTTCTTATAATATTAGGTTGTTTTTGCATGCCTGGTGTTACTTTCCAATGGACAAGGTGTTGGAGATCAGGTGAGTGCAGTACCTTGAATCTGGTCTTGTCGAAGATTGCTAATTGCTATGGTTACCACTGTTCATATGAAAATTTGCCATTCGCGTTGAAATTTAGATTCCAAATCTCAATTCAGGGATAGAAATCATTTCCACTATGGATTCTTCTGGAAATGTGTAACTCAGATCAAGTTATGGAAACAACGAAAAGGAAAGATGAAGAGTTATGGAAAAGAGAAACAAAATAAAGAATAGAGTAATAGAGAAAGAAGTGAGAAAAAAAAATATAGGAAGACTGAACTGTGACGAAGTTGAAAGGAATGGAGGTGGTTGAAAACTAGCAGTGACCAATTAAATCCACTGATGTGTGTGTGATGCGTAGAGATTTCACTAGTTTTAGCAACCGTGTTCCACCTCTTATTACAATGTATAAACTAAGACTCATAGGCAAATGTTTATCCTAACTAATATGACATCTTCTAACCATTCCTAATAACCGCTCTTGATAGATTCTAGTGGCCACTGTTGATAATTATCATAGTCTTGATCCTTCTTTTATCCTCAAATCTTGCCTTTCAATTCTATTTTTCCTCAAGATAAATGTCTGCCAACAATTTGGTCAAAATAATTCAGATAATAAAATGGTTGTAGGACCTGACATTGAAGTTGTTTGGTTGAATTTTATGCGTGGTCTGTATCTGGATAATTTAATTTATTTTCCAAGTTTGAGTTGACTTTTGATTATTTACTTGGAATATTTTTTTCTAAATCCCAATAATTCTTAAGAAATAGCATGATACTCAGAATATTGTATCATTTGACAAGTTATCATCTGATTAAGAAACCATTGAGGAGCAATAAATTCTGTTTCTGTACCTAACTAATTAATTGGTTTGAACCTTGTTGGGAAGAAATTATTGTACTGAAAAGTATTTGAATATTACTGGTCATTGATGTGTGGAATGTATTAGTTCACTTTTTGGATTTATTTAAAATATGTTATCATCTTTTCTCTGCAATAGGTTGAACATATTGTTTATTATTTACAAATAAAGAAATATGATTTATTGTTTATTGTTTACATTATTAAAAATATGATTTGGTTTTTGGCGTATATTGCTCATCAACTACAGTATGCAAAAGGAGTTTATCATCCTTTTAAAGAATGTGTGACTTGATCTAATAGTAATGAGACTCCCCTTTTTTTAAACATATAGTATAGCCTCATGAATTGGCATGATTTAAAGGATTGGTGTATTATGTTCTAATATACCTCTCATTTTTGTAGTTTTTATCAAATCATCTTTATTCACTTTTAGTTTTTTTTTTTTTAGTTCTCATTTATTATTCTTTCCAGATTCTTGAAATGGATACTTATAGATACCATGGCCACTCTATGTCTGATCCTGGCAGCACATACCGCACACGTGATGAAATATCTGGTGTGAGACAGGTTTGTTACACAACTCTCCCAGCTTACAAGTTCTTAGTAATTTGGTATTTTGAGAGATCTTGTTTAATTATTTTTCTTGGCTGATATGATTGTAGGAGCGTGATCCAATTGAGAGAGTAAGAAAGCTGTTATTGTCTCATGACATTGCTTCTGAAAAGGACCTAAAGGTGAGAACGATATTGGAGTTCATGCTTAATCCTTGAATTGTGAAACATGCTATTCAGAGTTGGTTATGCATAACATACAATGATTTTCTTTTTGATATCTGTGGCTAAATTCACTCTGGTTTTTCCTTGAAGGGGTGTCTAATTTATCTAAAAGATTTTAGAAATCAGCTCATACAGGGCATTAAGTTAGAGTCCAAGTGGGGTATCATATGGGCTGGTTGGTAGTACTTGACGGTGGTAGATAATGTTCTATTCAGTTTACTTTTACCTATAATTATATCTGTTATTCGCAAAGATGAATTTGTCAATTTTGTGGTTTACAAATAATATCTTATATACTCAATCAAAATTTGTTATATTTGACCATTTTTTCTGCATATGGGTTTTTTGTGATTTTAGGAAACATTTGTGAGCAACTTATGGTTTATTATGCAAATGTCTTTATGTTTGTGTAATTAACAGTTGGATTTCGATGCAAATGTATTAATTTAATTTCCTTGTTGTAGGATATTGAAAAAGAAGTCAGAAAAGAAGTTGACGATGCCATTGCTAAAGCAAAGGTGAAAAACATAACTTTTCTATTTATTCTCTTGGTTGATTTCTGTATGCCTTATATTTGTACATTCTGTGATATCTATTTATCATTTACAATCTCGGTTTTGTGTTAATTTCTGTTTTCCAGGAAAGTCCAATGCCAGACCCATCGGATTTATTTACCAATGTCTACGTTAAAGGTTTAGGAGTTGAGGTAGGGATTTCATTTAAAACTATAAGCGCGTAAGAATTTATGTTATATATATATATATTAACTGGATAGTTTGATTCAGTATTTATACAGTTCAAATATCAATTTCGGGGAAAAGAGATCATTGGTTTTTACTAGGAATACATTAAAAAGATGAATCTGACTCACATTGAAACAATTAATATTATGCACCTGTGCCTAGGTGTTTCTTTTATTAGCACGAACACATAATATTAGTTAAGAGATGGTATGCTTATAATTGATCTTATGTATTGCAGGCATTTGGTGCTGATAGGAAAGTAGTGAGAGCTACTTTACCATAAGTATCTTGCCACCATGTGGTAGCGAACTAATGGAAGGGATGAAGAATAAAAGGTTCTACAGCAGGTCTTGTCTGCCCCTATTTGTTGAGTTTTTTACCCTCGTGTATAATGAATTTATACTTGGGTAGCAAAGGGGCGGAATTATCATGTTTTTGCCATGTAATTTTTTTGGAGGAACTAACAGCCAAAGCATCGTTGTGATTGATGCAACTGGGGTATTCTGCGGATTTCAGGAATACATTGTGCACTATTTGCAAATATGTAGTTCAGAATAATTTAGACACACATTTCAATCATATTCCACATTCAAAATCAATTCTATACAACTCTAACCCAAACAGTCAATTTAATTTCAGTTCTATTACCTACAAACATGCAAAATGCAACATTCTAACTATTTTTTAATGAGAAAAAAAGGATTATGATTCATAGTGTAAAATAGTTTTGGGATGTTATTTAATTGTAACTTGTTATTCTTCTTCTGTCTTCATAATAAGGTATATTTAGAAGATTTTATTGGTCTTTTATGAAGAATTTTATAATTTTTATACAATTTGAATTTACTTTTAATAAATATTATGAGTATTTGTATTATAGATTAATGAATACTAAGGATTTTGAAAGTTAATTTAGTATAATAATAATATAATTTTTAAAAAAATATTTAATTTAATTAATTTTATTTATCTGCGTCACTTTATTAGAAGTATTTTATATTAAGAATCGGGGAAATAGCATGACAAGTATATTAATTTTGATGAAAAAAATACTTTAAAAATCATACAAACAATTATTGTGTTAATTATTTTTTTATATGAGCATTATTTCTGTTAATGATATACATTTGATTTATTTTTTATTTTATTAATTTTGACAGAATTGGTGTTCAAAGAAAAAAAAATTAATTGAATCGTGTTTGTAATGCAAATTTCAAAAATATTGTCAAAATGATTTGGTTAAAATATTTGTTTTTTGTGAATAATAAAAGCGATTTTACTTGAAAATATAGGAGTTGTAGTTTTTTAATAATTTATTTTCAAACGCACTTTAAGATTGTAAATCATTTAATTAATATATTTATAGATTTAAAAACACTTATACATTTTGTAACTAAAATCTATTCGTCAATTAAAAAATGTTAAAATTTTACTCACCTCAAATAATTTTAGAGACAATAAAATTTTACCAAGTACAGTTCCATATTGTTAAAAATGCATTTTGGTGTCTCCTGTCATACGGATAAGAACTAAATTGAAAGTTGATTTTGTCTTTTTAGGATAACGTTGTGGAATGTTTTTTCCTATTAGTTATACTTTTACAAAAATATTAATGATAAATATTTTCTTTTTCTGAATTCAATAAGTAATAAGTGGAATATTTTAATGTTTGAAGTTCTTCAATTGTATTCTTCGTATGTATAGTCAATAAAAATTAAAACAATAAATATATTAATGATAAATGAAATTGAGAGAAATATAATTAAAAATATTTAAAAAAAAGCATTTCTTATTAATATTAATAATTATTTAAAAAATATACAAATTTAACATCAATTATATTAATTAATAATAATAATAATCCGGTATTAAATACAACAGTGCTCTTGTCCTATTAAAATCTGAAACTCATGCAGAAATCATATTCCTGAACAAGTTAGATTATTGTTGTATTATAAAATTGTAAGAGTCTGAGTTCTTCTGATTTGGCTAGTTGTATTTGAGATTTGTAATTTTCATTCAGATCCTATAATTTCTTCTTAAATTCACAGAAAATTTACATTATTATATGCTAATATAATTTATAATAATTATTAATTCGATAAGTTTTCACATATAACAAAGATTATACATATATTTTTGTTTCATAAATCTTCTTTATAAAAATAATGTAGTTACAAACAGATCCTGTCAGTAAGTAGAAACATCTAAAGCAGTGTGAGTGAAATATTAATGACACAATTGCAACACAGCTGTTAGCTGTTATAAAAGAGGAGTTATCCTGCACAGATTCCTGCTTAAACACCATTAGAACCAGAGAGAAAAGTTGTTGAAGATCATTAATTAGAGAAAGATAAATTTAATTCTTAAACCCAATAAGAAAGAGGATTTTTTTATAATTTAATAAGATAGTGACATTCATATAAAAATGTGTTATCATATGTATTAGAAGATGATAAAGTAGTTCTTCAGAATAAGAGGGTTTTAGGATATAATTTATAAATAAGTAAAAATAAAACTTGTTTACCATTATAAGTAAATATAGAACTTTGATATTCAATTTATTATACTTTTGCCAAAATTGACTCCAAATATATTATTCTTAAAAAAAAAAAATATATATATATATATATATATATATATATATAATATTACAATTTTATAAAAATTCAAACAAATACTCTTAACAGTTCATTGGAAGAATGATTTAATTGAAAGTAGAAAATAATCTTGTTTTTAACATGTCCAAAGGAAGGAAGTGAAGTCGATAATAACTGCATATTTTGTTGTTAATAAATAGTAAGTATTGTAAACTATAATATTTTTTTCTAATTATGTGAGAATTGGAGATAGTAAAAAAAATGAAATCGATGAGTTATAATAATGTTTAAGAATAATTTTAAAATACTATAAATTGTTAACTAATTTAATATCTTAATATAATTAATTAATTTTCTTAATTCTTGAAAAATAATTAAAGGGTGTTTCCATTGAGTTACCATATATTAAGATAAAAAAAAAGAATAGATTAATAATTTTAGTTTATTAACCATTTTTATTTTTATAAATTTGTCCGTCAAATGAGAAATAGATTGAGTTGCTTGTTTTAAAAATATATATGTTAAAATTAAAAAAAATCATAATTAAAAATATTACATTTTGTATATTATGTTATTAAAATATATAAATATATTATAATTTAAATTATTAAAATTATTTAATTAAATTTAAATATTGATTAAATTTATTATTTTAATATATAAATATAGTAAATTTTTAATTTATCTAATAAAATATTAATTAATAAATAAAAACTTAATATATATATATATATATATATATATATATATATATATATATATATATATATATAAAATTTACGAACTCGTCCATTCATCTATCAATGTTCTTTACCAAGATGAATTAAGATATGCAACCTGTTTTATTATGATAGATCAATTAATCTTGTTTCACTTTTAATAGATTAGATTAAAAATATGACGAATTAAAATAGGATTAATTATTTAATAATTAAATAGATTTGATAGTTAAATCTTTTCCATAAATAAATAGTTTATTCTCAAAAATAACAATTTAGGTAACAAATTTTAATTCAAATCATTTAAATTTTATTTCAATGAAGTGTGGCCTATATTAATAAAAGAACAACAAATGCATATACTTTAATGAAAAGTAATATGTATCTTCTTAATAGACTTCAAGATATCCGTGAAATCAATAATAAACACAACACTACAAACTACATTAAAATCTAACTTTTAAAATTGTGATGATCATTAAAAAGAAAAAATTTGGATCATTGATGTTGCATTTTTTATTTGAGTCATCCTATTTAATTAATACAATTTAATAATGAAATAAAATAAATTTCCAACCCTCTTGAACAATTTAATTTTAAAAATATAATGATGAAAAACCAAATATGTCTTACTTGTTACCAAGACTTTGGAATAAAGTGAAGTAAACAACAACTTGTGTTCTTTTCTCTCTTCGTTTTTTCCACCCACTTCACTTCCAATACCCATAAGCAAAGCCCATTTTTTTCTTTTGTTATCTTTTACATATCACATGCATGGAGGTGGCAAATGATGAAACCTGTGATCTCACGGGTGAGTTGTAGCCGTCAGATGCATTTTTAGCGGTGATTGATGATTGCTACACAGCAAGTCCGAATCTTCTGATTATTTTGTTGGTGGGTCCTACTTCACAGTGACATGGGCCACCGCTGAATAAAAGAAAGACATGCTCCATGATGGGTTTGCTTAGGTTTGATACCACGTGGCAGAATCTTATGTGTAACTGGGATGAGGACAAAACCACCGTGGATGAGTCTGGCCGCACCATTAACTATGTGTACCAGCGCTCAGAGTATCCAATGCTGCACGCTCTCAATTATTTACGCAGGTTAAGAGTACACGCATTTACACGAAAGTACTTCCTCTTTTTTAACTTGAAAGAAAAAAAAAATGTACATCTCTTACAAATTAAAATAATTTTTTTATTATATATTTTAAAATGTTTTTTTAAATATGACTGGATAATATAAAATGGATAAAATAATAAAAACATTAGTGAGACAATATTTGCATAACGTTGAATGCCTAAAAATGATAAAAAAAATGTACATTTTTAAAAGAACACGAATATTTTAGTTGACGCGAGAGGGATAATGATATAAGTTAAAGTGCAATTATATTAGTATAATGAATTTAACTTTGAAAATAGAATAACGAAATAAAAGGCACACGTGCAGTTAAAATGGTCACAGTAACATATTATTGTTTGGTGACGAGCCAATTGTGAAAGCAAGAGAATCCATTTTCTTGATTCAACTGCAAGATCACCCTGTTCCAGCTTTACAAAACCTTACCTTATTTTATAAGCTACAATTCACTCATTGCCAAACAAACAAGGCATTGAAACAACCAACTTATCTTAATCAATAATCATTAGTCACATTATTTTACTTCAACTTGTTTGGCCCCAGATCTCAAATCCCACCCAATCCCAATTAACAACTTCTGATTAAGCACCCCAATCTATATTATATTTGTGTTTGTTCTTCCACTTTCTGACATAATATAGTAGTGAGCACAAACTACATTAGAGTTTCCTTAAAAAAATGTACTTTCATTTCTTGCTTTTTTTTAACAAACACAAACAATTGTGCGTTGAAACTTGAAACTGTCACGGGCCAGTTGAATGTTTGCGACCAACTTTTGTTTTTGTCACAGAAATTTTAATTTTGTAAAGAGGGTATGG